CTATATTGCATGTGGAATAAGTAAGGTTTTTGAGTAGTTTGAAGTAGAGAATCAAATTGGACCTAAGCCTTCTCTTCCAAAAGGGGTCCATCCCTAAGATTTGGCACCGGGAACTGTAGTCAATGACTAAGTCAGTCTTAACTACTTTGCGGGTGAAGTCTCGTTGTATTCCTTCCACCTTTAGTATATCATATAGGGGTGGGTCGGAAAATAAGAATGAACAGTATTCAACGATAGGTCTTACACAAACTTTGTAAAGAAGGATTTTAGATTCATTTTGATAGAAATTACGGAGAATGAAGCCAAGCAATTTCCGCATTTTGGATGCTTTGGCTGAGATGTGTTCAGAGAAATTAAGACTGTGTGAGTAATGTACCCCTAGGTCAGTTACTGATGCCAGTCTGGGCAGTGTGTTTTTGCTAAGTGTTAGTTTCATTTTAAGAGACGTGTCTCCTATACATAACCAGCCGCATTTCTCTATGTTGAGCTCTAACCTCCAGCGTTTGCACCAGTCATCTACCATGTTGAGTTCATGTTGGATTGTTTGCATAGTACTGCGTAAATCGCAAATGTCAGTTTTATAGATGACTTTTAAGTCATCGGCATAGAGGTAGGTCTTACCTGTGCTAAACACCTGCATATATTGTTGATGTAGATTATAAAGAGCAATGGACCCAAGACACTACCCTGCACAACACCACTGGTTATTGGTCGAGGTGTAGTTGTTTTAGAGTTAATCTTGGTTATTTGATATCTGTTCGTAAGAAAAGACTTGATCCATTTCAAAAGGGGATTTATAATTCCAACTGACTTAGGTCTGTTGATTACAAGATAATGAGGTACTTTATCAAAGGCTTTCTTAATATCGAAGTGTAGTATAATTGTGGAACTATGGTCTACTATGATATTAGTACTGCTCTAATAATAGACCTAATCCTAAAATTGTAGATTTGTCATGATATAACTACCTAATCTATAAGATCTTACATGGAAGTCACATCATCGACTACACCAACTCACTGTATCGTATCAATTACCAATACATGATGTAGAACAAGGTTAGGCTAGAGAAGGAACAATATATTTAATATGAATAGAAGATATAAAGTAACATTCAGATGAACCACGCCTGCATGGCCGAGCCATGCCATTCGATCAACTCCAGTCCATTCAATTCCTTGTTCGCGCCTTCTCCATTGTTAGGTATTTCTCCGCGTTAAATATTGAATATCTATTTTCCGAGTAGTCTCGTGTTCACAGCTTTGTGGATTGTGTGGCTATTGTCCAATGCCACTACATAATAACTAGTTTCTTCTGGTCACGTATACGAGTAACCTCGTTAAAGAAGTCTATCAGGCATGTACTGCACGACCTTGTTCTAATGAAGCCGTGTTGTGACGGGTCTATTAGATCTTCCTTGAGTAGGTGATCAGATAGTTGATTTTGTATCACTTTTTCCATTATGCGTGATATGACTGGAGTGATATTTATAGGTCTGTAGTTTTCAACCAGGTTTCTCGGTCCGGATTTGTGTTTGGGAAGAACATACGTTACCTTCCAGGTTTCCGGATATGTACCTGTCTCTAAAGATAATGTGTATATTTTGAGTAGTAGCGTCTGTATGTCCGGCCCTGACATTTTATAAACGATTGAAGGGATGTCATCGGCACCAGAACTCGCATTTGGCTTAAGGGTTTTAATGGCGGTATGTATACTCCTAATGTCGAAGTTTATGGTACTAAGATAGTTTTTGCCGGTGCACTTTATGTCGATATCTGGAGCATCAGATGTATTCCCATTGTGAGAAAACCATTCACTTAATAGTTCACATATGACGGTTTGGTCATTATACGTTACTCCATCGTGCAGTAAGGAGTGAATGTTGTGGTCTGTGTTCTTTCTTATGCGTTTTGCGAGGAGACGACGTAAGTCCTGGGCTTTAGATGCAGCAGTGAGCGCAGTACGTTCCCCTACCTGTTTATGTTTGTCGAGTTGACTTTGTACTCCGTCAAGTACAGAGTATATATGGTGCAGGGCACTGAAGTCTTTTGATATATAGTACGTCCTTTTCAGTTTTCTCAGCTTAGACCTAGTCTTTTGTTTTATATAGGGAGTAACTGTTTTAAAAGCAATTTTAGAGGGTATAGTAATGTCTAGTGCAGATTTGGTGGTGGTATTGAATATTTCTAATGTTTCTAAGAGGTTATCACTGGTAAAGAAACAGCTCGAGTCAGAGTGCTTTATTAGAAATCGAAAGTTTTCCCAGTCAGCGTTTGCATAGTCTCTATATTAGAAACGCGTATTTAATGTCTTTAATTTGTTGCACATGGCAAGAAGCGGAAGGGTGCAGAGGACTAATTTATGATCGTTGTTGTGAAAGTTTTCGCCAACCACCATTGATGTTGGGGTAATATTGTGACAAAATATCAAGTTAAGAAGGTTGTGATTTCGTGTAGGCAGGTGTACATGTTGTTGCCAACCGTGTATGTCTAAGGACCTAAGTACGCTTTCAAAGCACAGTGGGCCAGAATGTGTCGTCCAGTTGATAGTGGGAAGGTTGAAATCACCACATACAATTTTGTAAGTGAAGTCAAACGAGGCAGCCTGAGCAAATGACTCACTTATAATAGTGTCAGTAAAACTAGGAGTGTTAGGTGCTCGATATAGTATTTTAGTATTTTACATTCATGAGTATGCACAGTAAGCCATATATCCTTGATTAACTAAGGATGTATTCTGTAGGACCACCTTGTCTACAAAGAGTGGATGATAAAAGCACAAACACTGATGTGTTAAGAAATATACAATTTGTCCGCTCATACAAGTAGCCGTACTGCAGGGGCTATAAGCTTTTTTGATTTGGAAATCAGTATTAGACAATTCGATTAGGTATGAATCAGGTAATATATGTCATAAACAGTTTATAAACATCGGGAAAGCACATATACACCTACAAATTTTATTCGAACTCCAAAAAGGTCAATGCATATCAGACTGTTTCACCTAGGTATCTTTTACGTACTTACTTACTCCTGCTACTCCTCATAGAGGAGCATAGGCCGCCCATCAGCATTCTCCATCGAAATCCGTCCTGGGCAGTCCCTTCCGGCTACTTTTCCTTCTTTTTATGTCTTCTTCCAATTCTCGACGCGGTGTGTTCTCTCACCTTCCTCCTCTCAGTTTCCATTCACGATTACAAGTCAGCGCTTGCCTCGTGATGCAGTTTGTTGATTCCGTAATGTATGTCCCATCCACTCTCATCGTCTTTTCCTGATTTCCTCTTCAGCTGAAGCCTGGTTTGTTCTCTCGCACAGTAGGTTGTTTCTGATGGTATCCGGTCAACGGTCACCGAGTATCTTGTGTGTACATTGTTTATAAATAATTTCAACTGTTGAGATCATGAGTCAATTGAAGCTAGACCACCATGGAGAACCTTGAAGCACTGGACGGCCGTTCCGTCCTACTGTGAGCCTAGCTTCAATTGACTCATGATCTCAAATATTGAAATTACCACAATCTCCACAAAAACCCTTCTGATACAAATCAACTTATGCTCACTAGTGACTGGCTTCAAGAGATATATCCTGGAGTTCTAGTGAGAATCAGTGACTAGTGGAGTTCAACCGAGTCTGTTGTGAGATAGTAATTCACTGGTGAAAATGATGGATGTGTCGCTCAGTTTCGTGGATTAGTTGAAGTTAGACATTAACGCCGTTCGATGCCGACCAGCTCAGTAGTCTAGTGGTTAAACATTCGCGCGGTAAGCTGAAAGGTTCTGGGTTCGGATTCTGCGAGGCGGAGTCGTGGATGCGCACTTCTGAGGAGTCTAACAACAGGGCGAAACGTCCGTCCAGTGTTTCCAGGTATTCCATGGTGGTCTCGCTTAAATTGACTCATGATCTCAACTTTTAAATTATTACAATCTCCACAATACTCCTTCTGATGTTTATAAATCAGATCCTTCTTGTTCATCGATGATGCTGTCCAGGTACGTGAACGTTTCCACCTCTTTGAGAGTTCCCCCGTAAAGTGTGATTGGTTTGGTGTTTTCCGTGTTCTATCTTAGGATTTTTCTGTTTCCTTTGTGTATGTTGAGGTGACGCAGAATCTGCTACTACACTGGTTTTCTTCAGCCAAATTTGTTTGCGTGCATGAAGTAGAAGAGCGAGGTCACCTGAGATGTCCAATTAGGTCTACTCTATGGATAATCATGCAACATTTGATGAACGCATTCCCTGAAATAAACTAATATTAAACCAGTAGTCTCTCACTAGCTAAGTAACCTAGAGTCAGATCAGTCACCAAATATCGGAAGACTAAGGCCTCAACTGATATCAACGTTCCCAAAAGTTTTCAATAGTACTGCTTGTAAGGAACCAAGCACCCACGCAATATACAATAATCAGCATTAGAGATCTGTACTAATTTGAGCTGTCTTCACTATTAAGACCCTTAAGTGATCAAACTACCACCTATTAGGGATGAAACTAAAAATTTCACAATTTAAATCGTTCTGGAACATACTCATTCACTTACTAACAAAATAAATCAACAAAGAACCTCAGACACTATTCAGACTTTTTCAACCAGTTGTCAGACCTAACATAATTGTGCGAAATTATGGTCCAGAACTTTTATCTGACATTTGGACTGTTGCTCAAAAAGTTATTTGTTTCCTTATACTTTATTTCAGAGTTAGATGAAGCAAGACACACCGGGGTGGTATATATTGGACATTGATTACAATTATTACCTTCATTTTCCTATGAGTTATTTACACCATTCATATACACCAAATTTTGAGAGTGAGTATCTTGTTATTCTCTTTGTCCAGTTTTATCATCTTACATCACATAATGTAAATGGGGCTCTGTGTTGTTTGAATGAATTGGCCTTGACAGTTTTTACTCGTACTTTTACATAATTGAGGTTTTCTTTATTTCTGTGATTCATCACCGTCGGAAAATTCATTCATGATTTAACTAGACTAATTTGTACTCATGAGTGAGGAGCACCCTGAACAATGTAAGCAAAGTCATCAAATTGACCTTTTAAATAGCTTTAAAAGTGCAGTTTAGAGAGGAAGATGGAGAGTTAATTTTATCAGACAATGAAAATCAAGATGAAAAACCAGGCGAAAGCCCTGATAGGTCAAATTCCCGCAAAAGCCGCCGCAAGCAAACATTCGAAAGACGCAATATCAAGTTTGTGCATATCATATTTCTCTTCATTGTATCTTAGGAAAGTTCGGGAAGATGGCCTTAGCGAAGAAGCCAAGGCGGCTCAAAAAGCAGAAATGGAAAGGAGACAGCGTCTTTTTAGTAAAGATAAAGGGGAGCAAGTGAAGTTTTCTAACATAGACTTCTTATTAAATGGTAAGTAGCCCGTATTTTCTAAAACCTTTATTTTAAACACCGTATAAGTTTTTGGTTGTTAAGTCCTTCAAGCTACTTCTTAGAGACCCGTAATTGGGTCAATTAATCGCATACTTAGCGTTATACTCCCTACAATTTATTACTGTAAAATATTTAACGCCTTGATGATTTATTGTTAGATGCATGAATATCGCATAAACAGTCTATTGATCAGAATAACTGACGTTACTTTTCCACAGAAGGGAAGTTTACTGTTATTAAACACTCCGAAACCAAGTTAAAACTAGTAGTTCGTCATGACTTGATAAGCGCAATAATTTGAATACTTCAGAGTGCTATCACTTCAGGATCCCAGCAGTCATAACAATGGAGACACAGAGTGAACATGATAAAGATGGAGATATTGGGCTTTGATTGGTTGTTTATCGTTTATTTTCCATTTAACTAATTGGAGAACTTTCACAAAGCTGTATTTTTTTCCCCTGTGATTTTGTCACCATTGTATATTGAAACAAACACGAAAGCTTCACTGCTTAACTGTATACCAGGCTTCAGTCTAGCATTAATGGATACGACTTTCTTGGAATCTGTATTGTCGCCAGTTTTTTCACTATAGAGAAAGTGGATGTTCTAAAGCATAAAATGACTTGCCACTAACTATTCTGGAATTTCGTAAAACCGTTTTTACACCACACTACACTGGGACCATCATAAAACCCCATCAAAATACATTCGGCTGGGCTAGAAATATACGGTTATTTCCCATCAGAACCGATTGGTTACACTGAATTTGATAACTGTCCATCTTGGGTATTACACGAAAGGATCTCCATCCTTATACTTTCCTTGTGCTTTAACAACTTCGAGAAAGATTACATGCTGTTGATTCTTAAATCCCCGAGGGCCTTATACTGGATGTAGTTTTTATTTTTTCCACACAATAGCAGCTTGATACCTAATAACTGAGAATATGAATCCCTATCAGTTTCTCAGGAGATTCAGACATTTAACAAAGTGCTTCTGTTCATTGATGGAAGCCCGTAAGCACTCAATCCTTGTTCTCGTGATTTCTAAAGATATAATTACCAATCATCTGAAGGTCTGCAATATTGTGGAATCATTCTTTCTGAAAAGTGGCTAGTATTTCTGTAGACAACGACCCTCAACAAATCGTATTGTCGATTTAGTTAATGAAACACCCACTCTATGATGTATGAGATTTCGACTAGTTCCATTTGAATAGACAGGGACATGCAATGTACTGAAATATCTGGGTCACCTAAATATTCATACTAATTATCTTATCTGGCATAGGCTAGTAAAGACTGTGGTTTGAATGTCGACCATAAAAGGTTTTCTCAAATGTTCTAAATAAATGTCTGTTTGCTAAATCAGTCAGTCAGTCAGTAACAACGTAGAACTTCGTACGTACGTACATCAGTTCGAGTTGCCACACCACATTAGCACAGAGATGCAGTTGTCGATTCAAATCCCGTAGTGGTAGATATAGTAGAAGTATAAGCAGTAATCGAAAAGATTAGGGTTTGAAGATGTTATTTAAAGAGTATAATACAGTGAAATAAATTTGGAAAGAGGAAAAAAGGGACATGAAGAATTCAGAAGATTAGAATTTGGAAGAACACAGAGAGTGGATCCACCTGCGCCATTGCAAACGATTTTGAGCCATGTCATTCAGGGTCTCTAACCATCGGTTGCTATCATCTCGCGGTCCCCAACCAGGTAGTCTACACCTACCAACATGACTCAGACCACTTGTCAGTGACTTCATGGACTTGTGCCATGTTTTGGTTTGGCCGCCCCTAGCTTTCTTCCAACCTACTCCTACACCACTGAACATAGCACGTCGAGGCAGTCGGTCGTTGGGCATACGTAACACATATCCCAGCCATCTCAACTGATGAAGTTTCACTACTTCATCAATTGATTTGCCATCCTTACCTAGTACCCGTCTCCTAACAACTGTGTTACTTACTCGATGGTCCCATGATATACGAGCAATGTTTCGAAGACACTTATGATCAAATACTAGTAGCCTACGGATATCCTCTACTCTTACCGGCCATGTTTCACTGCCATAAAGTAGGACGGAACGAACTTCTGCGCAATAAATACGTCCTTTGGTTGATAGACGGATATCTCGCCTACGCCATAAATGACGCAAGTTGGTAAAAGCTAGTCGAGCCTTCTGTTTCCGTGCTGAGATTTCGTCACACACTAAACCACAAGGACTGATGAGACTTCCAAGATAAGTGAAGCGGTAAATGACAGGAGGCCGGTTCGTAGAGTTATTAACTGTTAGTTTGAGTTGTTAGAAAATTAAACTATCGCTGCTCTTAGATTCATATGTGGTTCGTGATTAAAAAGTCTTTCGACCACATGTTTTTGTACCGAATGATAGTTACTTAAGGGGTTATCCAAGTAACATTCAACGTTTGTAACGTCATTATACTGTGCCTCGTTCCTGTCTAATTAGAAAGATTATTTTTTAAAACGTAATTGCCACTTTGAGTTGGATTGGTATATAGTTATGGATTTTCAGTTATTAGTCCATTTGACGTTTACCATGAGATTCCAACCATATCTTATTGTTTCAAATAGATTCTTCATCGTCACCCGATTTTCTAAAGTGTTCTGATGCCAACTTTCAATCTGAGTTGCAAGAAACTGGTTCATTTGTAAAAAAAGAGGGAAAGTATGACTCGGATGCAGAAGAATGTAACTCCGTTGATAGTCAGCGCAGTTCATTTGAAACAGTTGAAAAAGGTGCTAAACAAACCGTCTCAAACTCGCTTACGAATGGAGGCAAACAGTCACCTGGCAACGAATTAGATCAAAAAAGAGCTGTTAGTTCTGCCTCTGCTGCACTGTTTGGTTCCACATGGAGTGATTTGCAATCTTTTCGCATGGGCCAGTCACAAGACGATCCTATTTTACTTGGTGATTCTGATGATGACCAGGTAGGCTTGTATGATTTATTTTGTGTTCTTTCAAATCCAATCACTATACTACTCTGGGATTTTTATTTATAATTCCAAATCAGATAATGTAGTGTGGCAACGTGAATCGATGCGTATGTGCCAAGTTTTACGTTGCGTATGACTAAATAACCTGACTGAATGATTGACCTTAACATGGTTTTAGAAGTATCTCTTTGTCGGTCAGTTAACTAGACGTGATGAACTTCTGATCACTGGAGAGGTCACCATTATATGTTGAGGATATGTGCCTGATCCTACGTTGTAGCTGACTGACTGACTGAGCTCCTAACCTAGTATCAAGCGGTTGCTTGCGGTAGCTGTGCGATGTGATATTGTCGTGCCGGTTCCTCCCTAAATTTATATATATATATATATATATATATATATATATATATATATATATATATATATATTATATATATATATACGGTTCTATCTGATGAATCTATTCACACTAGTCAGCGAACGTTTAACATAGCTACGTCTGTGCATAAGATCTGGAATTTTTTAATGTGGTTTTATAAGGTATAATCAGCTCTCTCAAGTGGTTACCAAGATCGTATAGCTACTGTCCAATGTCGTGATTACTCTGTTGTAGACCAGTAGACTACAGGTTCAATACTTAAATCACCTGTCTTGATATTGAGTGCTTAGTATCACACACAAGTGAGACTTAAATTCGGGAAAATAAACCTGTTCTTATTTGTTGACTTGTGATAGCATTTTAATATAAGTTGGATGAAATCCTATCATTTCCAGTTAATGTTGATGGTTATGAAAACTAACTTCGTATCTGAAGGATTTTTAAGCTTTGTAAAGTGAATTGGTGTGTTAAATCAATTCGTAAATTATTCATATGCTGTCAATTACGCTTAGAAGTCAGAATATACTGCGGATTCATAAAAGTGTAGTTTCCTCGTAATCAATCTGCTATTAACCTCTTATGTGGTGGTATGTGAAATGAGCTCGACTTTTATCCATTTATTTAAATGCTTCTCTCAGACATAATGAAATGAAATATATAGGTCTGTAAGAAGTAAACTAAGTAGTAAGGTAAACCGCTAGTAGTGACATGACAAAAAAAGTTATGACCAAGTAGACTGCAGCTCAGTCTTTACGTTATTAAACTAGGACATCAGTTTTCAAAGTAATTTCTTGTTTATCTCCCAATTAAGTTACATCCTACTGAATAAATCTTAATTAATCAGTTCATCACTTAAATGTTTTCATTCTATTTACATTTTTCCATGTGTACACAGCATGCGGATTCTGGTATCATTGAAGTTAGTGATGGTGAAGATGAACCAGAAATAGAAGTTGAAGCTGAAATTTGCGAGATACAAGATGCGGAAAACTTAGCCGATATTGATGGCAAAATCATTATTAATACATCTCGTGATCAAGATGAAGAACCAGAAATTGTTTTATGCCCTCAAATGGCTAGGGTTATTAAACCGCATCAAGTGAGTATTTTTTCTAATTAATAAATAAATTTACAGAGCCCTACAAACGAAACATTAGAAGGTTTCCTCTATTTTTTCTGCGTTCTTCATTAACTTGAAAATTAAAAATAGCATTAATTATCCTTCATGTGGAATTAAACTATATTATTTTCAAAAAAGTCATTATCTTTCGTCTTTTTGTGTTTCTATCCTTTTTCTATTGAAGCATCATGCTTGTAAAGTTTAGTGGGTAAATTAATTTGTACTTGTTGGTCAGTCCCCTATTTACTGTGTAGTTTCTCTGTTTTAAAAGAGATGAGTGGATATGAGTTAAGTGAATTTTAGATAGTCAAGAAGTCTTAATTTAGAACTGGAATAAATAGTGTATAAACATTTAATGCTCACCAACAGTGATTTAAGTACATTCTTTAATCTTTACAAAATGTTTTGTTTGTTACATTCTAGAGTCCATTGCTACAAACTGGCTTATCAGTAAATTATTTCATCCGTGTAGATATTTGGAAGGTAAAAGTCATGATCCACTACTCAAACTATAACAATGATATGAAATTCATTGTATGAAAAATGATTACTCCCGAAAATAAAATGTAAAGGACAATTAAAGCTTGTTTACACATCCTAAAATGTAGACTTTTTGATTGTGTTACAATTGTTTTTCTTTAATTGTAGGTTAGCGGCATACGTTTTTTATATGATAATGTTGTTGAAAGTGTAAAACGATTTCATACAACAGATGGATTCGGTTGCATTTTAGCGCATAGTATGGGATTGGGTAAAACTATACAGATTATCGGATTTCTTGATATTTTATTCCGTTTTTGCCAAGCACAAAGAGTTCTTGTAATCGTCCCAATTAACACTATACAGGTATGATTTTGTTACTTTTTTCAGTTTTAAACACTACTATAATTTGTCACCTCTATACATCCCAACTATATTGTAATTAATTCAGCGTGTTTATATTATATCGATAGTTCTGCGATATATGTAATTTCTAGCGCTTAAACTTTTGGGATGTAAAGAGAACCCAGTTAAGGAAACTATTGGTAAAAGAAAAGTATCACTATTTTTATTTTGATTGGGTTTCATTTTCTGAGCTACAAATCGCCACTATTTCATAATTGTCACTATTTTTCACTGCAATCCAGGTAGACATAATAGGAGGCTAAGGATAAATATGCAGGTTTCTGAACACACAAGTACTTTTTGAAATATGAATTTATTTCCCTCCATATATTCATATTTACTAATGAGGTTAATCATCAATTTTGTTTAAGTTTTATAAGTTTCACATCATTATGAAAATTTTATCTTTTTCAAGTAAATAAACAGAGCGATAACTTATATTTCTTGAACTGTAAAGATACTATTTATTTCACGGAATTTCAGAATTGGCAAGCAGAATTTGAGCTCTGGTTACCAACTGATTTATCAAGCTGCGCAGCAAATAAAAAGTCCAAATTTTTCCAACGTTTCTCCATTCCTAAACCCACTACAGAATCAAAACAACATCCTTCTTTCTCAGATCGCGCAGATTCTTCTGCCGATCCGAATGTCTCGCTGGGTGATTCAAAAGAAACTGACGCCAACATGGATGATCAAATGCTATGGTCTTCTATGTTTGAAAATGACAAGAGCGAGTCTCAGTCGAAAGTGCAAGATGTTTCCCATAATGAAAGCTTTTATGGCGAACCGAATGATTCAGAATATTCTTTTGTTAATAGTGGTAGTTGCCTTCGACCATTTAAATTATTCGTAGTGCGGGATACTGTAAAAACGATGAGTCAGCGTCACCAGGTAAGCAGAAATTCGCTTTCTCAATGATGTGTTAAGACCTACTATTTTATTCTTCCGTACTATGGCATCCAAACATGGTTACCACAAAATAACCTAGTTAGTTTATATTTACTAGGAGATTTGTTTTTTCAGAGTAATTCGTTCAAAATGCGATTTATAGACTAATATATTTATCAGCTATTTCATTTCCACATTGTCTGCATAAGGCATTTAGAATTATTGACCCTTAAAAATAGCTCTTAACTCTTTTCAGCCTTCTTACAAGTGGTGTATATTTCAAAACTTCGCAAATCAATAAACGGATAAACAAGAATAGTTTCTGTTATGTGGGACGTTTCTGATAAAAGGAACTACGAGATTGTCACTGGTTTCTGTTGTGAGCTATATCTAGAAAAGCCTCAAACTAGTCAGTCGTATTTGCATGTCCAGAATCCAAACTCATGTTTCATCTTTCATTGGAATCAGAGACGCTACTACTAAGCTGCTCATCCCGTGACTGACATGTAACACTGGTGAAGTAATAATTTATAGGTGACGTTCGGACGATGCTTGGGTGACCTTGAGGACATCCACATAGTGGGATTAGGTGAGATTTGCAAATTAGTGTAAGGAATTAGGATTAGGATCTACAATTGTACAGTAGCGTTAGAAATTAGAGTCAGGGTTTTCATCACGAACTGAAATCAGCTAAAATGCTATTTAACCATATGGATGAACGAATATTACGCCGACATCCAAGACCTGCTACCTTAAATCTGATTAGTTCGTTCATGTCAGTCAGTCAGTCAGTCAGTCAGCTACAACGTAGGACCAGGCATAAATATACATCAGTCCAAGTTGCCATACCTCATTAACACAAGATGGACACCGGATTCATAAAAGTAGTTAATTCAGAGGTGGCCCGCTCAGTGGTCTAGTTGGTTAAGCTCTTGGCGCGAGGCTGGTAGGTCCTTGGTTTGATTCCCACGAGGCGGGGTCGTGAGTGCGCATTGCTTAGGAGTTCGTTCATAAATTATTGTTAATCGTATCTCACAAACATTGTCTTTTTTGTTAACGAGTTTATGGGTTGGGTATCAAGGCCAAGGCTGGACTTGATAGTTTTTAAATAAATTGAGCACTGGGTAGAGAGTTGGTAACAAATAATAATAAACTTTGTTGGTACACTTATGCTTTATCATTTAAACATTTTTACAATTTCCATTTTGATGTGATACTTTATTTTCCATTTCTCTTGTTTCCAAAGATCATTCAACAATGGTTTGAAGAAGGTGGTGTTTTGTTATTAGGTTACGAAATGTTCCGGCTACTTTTAAATCAAAAGCGTTTGAACCCTCCTCCATTATATACAACGAAAGTTGATGTACGAATACCTAAACGTCGGAAAAAGGATATTTGTATTGATATTGATAAAGAGGAAAAACGAGAAAAGATGTGGGCAGGTAGGTCAATGTAAATATTTCCCAGAAGTTATTCGTAGTCTAAATGATGTATGCATATAATATTTATGATTTCACGATCAACCTACTATTTTTGAAACACTTGGAAATCATTTTCATTCAGTTGCTTTTAGTTATCTATCTGATATAACCATGTATTTACATTCAGTATTTTGTCATTTGTACCACTGTATTTTCACTGTGTGTTTTATATTAAACTAAATTGAATATCTCAATTTATTTGTTCTATAAATAAACCTGAATATATAAGTTTTGGTTGCAACTTGAGAGTTAGCCTGCATTTTAACAAGGCGAATAAATAACAACTACAGGTTTACCAATTGAAACAATTCGCGGTCCGTTTTTTGGTACCCCTCGAAAATCCACATTTTTCCAGTGTTATTAATTTCCCCGTGTAAATCAGATTAATTAAAGTATAGTATCAAGTTCGTATGTGGTACTTGAACCAGATGGCTTAAATGTGAACATTTCTTTGTCGACCTAGACAATTTTATTAGTGCTTGTGAATCAGTCAGTTCTACTGACCTTATTTTTGGCCAGTTGTCTTAGACATTGTTATCTTCATGTATCTGCTTTTCATTTGGTTGTTTAGTTCCGTTGACCACAAACTATGAGATTTAAGAACGATATCTTGTCTGTTGAAAAATTAAACTTGTTTATTTACTGCAGGCTGTTGAAATTCTAATGATCTCGTATTTCTAAGATTTCCTTGATCCAGAACTGTCATTTACCCAATTAAGTTCGTGTTCATAGTTATTTGTGTGTATTGTGTTGTTTCACTGCTTGTTACTATTCTCACGCGTGTAGGTGTGGGGCATCTACTGTATGTCCGTTGAAGTGCTTCAGATGGCGTAAGATAGATTGTGGTTATGTTGGCTTATAAGGGAAATCCCTTTCAGAAGTTTTCCAAAATCCTTGTGATCTCTGAAATGTTCTTCACATACGGCAAAACTATCTTTTTTCGATTTCTTAAAGTAATCTCACGATATTTGTTAATTTCCCAGGTGCTTTTCAAAGTAGTTATCAATGTAGCCATTTTCTACTATACATAGGCTTCTTCAGTCTTTCATGTAATTAGGATGCTGTATTAAATCTTGATTCTTCTGAGTAGTGTTTGTACAAACCTATTTTCGGTGTTGTTGGGTCATTATTATAATCTAAGATTTGGTCCGTATGCTTTAGTTTCATGCATAGTTATGTTATCAAAGTTATGATTATTTTATCCAGAAACAAAATTTTGCTTCGCGATTCTATTCTCCATTTAGATTTAACTACGTATATCACCCCAAGTTACATAGGTGAGAATTTCAGGGTCTTCTGAATTCTACTTGCATCTCTGAACTTGTTGCGTTTTTTCTTGTTTAGTATTCTATCACTATATTCCTCTCAGCTCGTTTCAAATAAGAATAAAAATCGAGAGGGAATCTTGCTTATTTCTGTGAACCCAAATAACGAAAGATATAGTAGTAAAACTAACGTTTGTGTAGAATTTACAGGAAAAGCTACTATCTCGGTTTGTCATACACAAAATTTACTTTCGTGCCGTTGTAGGGTGGTAGTCACTAGACAGCTAACCAATCTTCTATAAAGCAGTTTTTGTGGTCTACATACAACTCAGTAGCTTGCTAATCTACACATATTTTTAAAAATTGCAATCTGTTCTACCACTAATAGGTATATAAGTGAGCGAATGACAGATGAGTCCCATCCTTGTATTTTATTTTATTTATTGATCCAACAGATCAAATATTTCCAAGAATCACTTTTTTATTGTTATGAAACGGTTTTATTAACAGATTTCCATACAGCGCTTTTGGATCCTGGCCTCAGCTTGTTATCTGTGATGAAGGTCATCGAATTAAAAATAGTGAGGCGTCAATTTCTAAAGCTTTGAAAGCTATTAAAACACAGTAAGTAATTTGTCTAGTTTCGATTTATGAAAATTATCTTAACTTACTAATTATTTTTCACAATTAACTCGAATATTTTTTGCTTATGTGTTTGTAGTCGACGTGTTGTACTCACTGGTTATCCACTTCAAAATAATCTTATGGAATATTGGTGTATGGTTGATTTCGTCCGACCTAATTATTTAGGAACAAAACAAGAGTTCACTAATATGTTTCAAAGACCAATTGAAAATGGCCAGTGTATAGATAGTACACCTGAAGATCGTAAAGTAATGCAAGGCCGAGCACATGTTCTGCATGACTTGTTATCTGGTTTTGTTCAACGGCGTTCACATGCTGTTCTCAAGGCTAGTCTCCCACCGAAAACCGAAATTGTTCTACTAATCAAACTGTCATCCTTGCAACGAACACTTTATGCAGCATTTATGCGAAGTCTGGGCTCCAGTGGTCCACTTGGTTGGGCTCAAGTGAATACGTTGAAAACATATGCAATGTGTTGTAAAGTAAGCTTTATTGCTCTTTAGATTATTACAGTACTCATATTTTTTTAAACCTCAAAGTTATTAGCTTTAATCTTGCTGTGAAATAAATTTTTTAATCATGTCAAGCATTTCCATACCAGTGATGTATTCTGCCTATACAGACTACATTTTATATAGTCTAATTACTTGTGTATGTTGATTCTAACTTTGGTAATTCATAATGTTCATTAATTTTTTATTTCTTTACCAACTACCCTATATCCTGAACTTCAATTTCATCTTCAAGTCTATTAAGTATGCATTTTTTGGTTGCATGAGTTTGTGATTCACATGCTTTCAAACTTCACTCATTTGCCCGACCGTTGTTGCTACCTTGACGTGGTGGTCGGGCTTGCCTATCGCGATGAGCAACTGAGCTATACTGGCTGGAACAACCGTTCCTCAAGGTTCTACCATGTCAGACAGGTCGGTTGGAGAGCGGTAAGACTAAAAGCAACAAACCCAAGGTCCGAAGGCGAAGTCGTACTGCTGACTGTACAGAGGTGTGACAGCAATAAGGTGTTTCCTTCAGACAACCAGTATGACAGCGATGCTGCCTTCCCACAAGGAGGGGTGGGGCTAGAAAAGGTTGACCCTAAAAAAATGCACACCTCGCCTTATCCCACGGATACCTGTCTCTGGCGGTAAGGTTTCAACAAGTACGGAGCTAACACGAAAATTACCCACTAAAAGGTTGTGTTTGACTGACCTCAAGCAGTTGTCCCTTGGGCACTGCGGTCACGCTCTCAAGTCACCAAGACCACCTCTAATGCAATTTCCTTTTCATGTACCTCCAGAAGAACCCTTCCACGGTGTGGGCAACCGGGAAATGATAACCGCCCTCATACCTCTAACATCACTTACTCATTTGCTGTTTAAACAATCAAGTAACTGTATTCAATTCAATATTCAAAGTTGTACATAAATGAACTAATTTCAAATTAATAAAGTATTCTAGTACACTTTTTGTCAGAATAATAACACATCTCATTTGATGATCTATGTAGGATATTCAAAAAGAAGGAATGTTTTTAGCAAACATACTTTTGTCAGTAATTTCATATTCAAAAAAAGCTCTACAGTAATGGTGTTTTATATTGTGACTGGGTAAATTTCGTGTAGATTAAAGTTTAAATGTATGATTAGTTAAGGTCATTTAAGATCATTTAAAAAAGAGGAACAAGAGAAAAAAAACTAAAATGATAATGGTACTCTGTTATAACAAATCAAGTGAAGTCATTCTGTGAATTGTCAAAAATGCTAAATTTTTAAATACAACTTGTATTAGGAAACGACTTATCACTTCCACTTACTAACGTTCAGAGGGAGAGTCATTAAAGAGATTGTCTGATCGACTCTCTATTTTCTTATTTTGCTTATTTAAACACATCAACATTGGTACAAGAAGGCACTAGATACATATGCGCCACATAAATCAATCGATTTTTGTGAGGGCTAGGATACTGTCCAGGTGCCCAAACCGAACCACGTAGTTTTCTTAGGGGACCACACCCCGAGCCTTTGGCCTAAAGTTCTAATCCACAAGGTAGTGGAGCAAAGTCAGGAGATGCAGTCCCTTGGTAGCCGGCGACCAACAATTGGTTCACACGCCATTTTTTCCTTTAGGATTCTGGAGCCATGTACACCATTGGTTTGGAATTAGGGTTCTCCAACTCCCCTAGGTGAATCCTCCATATCCATTAACCCGGTTAAAGCACCGGACATTCACTTTTCTTCCTCTCAATTTCGTAAACAACACTCGTGACACGAAAAGGCTGTGAGTAAGACTTCCCTATCAGTAGTTGTATGCACGTGGCCACTTGAAAGCATTTCAAGAGGGAGAGCTGACTCTCCCCACTCTCAGCCGTACCAGGGCATTTGGGGGTTCTGGTGGAACACACTAAATTTCCAAGTAAATTCAAAAATAATTCACCATTAATTGTTCAGAAGTGTTGAGGATGTTAAATCTCTAAATACAATGTACTAGAAAGAAATCAATCTTTAAAATTTCTATATCAATTTAAAATGATTTTCATTCATTTAACTATCTGTGAACTTTCATTTGTATTTACGAATTCAGTGTGAATTTTGTTGATTTAGTTTTCAATGTATATTGATTTTATTAATTCTTTCATGTGATATTTGTTCAGTTTGACAATATTTTCTAACAAAATAATTACTGAAAGTGATCAGTATATATTTGAAACATTTCGAATACAAGTAAATCTTTACTCACTGCCAAATAAATCTTGTTTACAAGATTTATTCTTTGAAGTAACCAAGGCTAATAGACAGGACTGCTGTTTTGTCTAAGTATCGACGTGTAGCTAAGAGCTCCAACTGTTTATCGCAACATATTTAGATATAATACCAGATGTGAAGATATGTTATGTTGGCGTTATTTCGGAAATCAAGAAAGTTGGTTACACAATTCCAGATTTCATAGAAAGGACCCAAAGCAATCTTAGAGTTGATGATTTTTATCTGACGTCATCAATTTTACTCAAAGTTTATGACCCTGCTATGGATCAGACTATACAAATGTCAAATATAAACTCGTCTCAAGCATAGGTTAAACTTTAAGGCAATCCAATATCTGTTCCTGTATGGGAATAGTGTAATCGTGTGATTTCAGATAACATTTAAGACATAATTCGCCTACGTTACATTCTGGTTGGTATTCAATTTTATTGCATGAAGAACAATCGGACTTATTGATGGGGGATACATATTGTTTTCAATGAAAATGTTTACTATTTCTGTAATCCTATATTTCTCACTACCATAAATCAACAAAATTGTAAGTGGAGTTGTGCTGGTTTTGAGTCCTTTGATCACTTTATGAAGTGAATTAGGCTTAGTCGTTGATTGGCATTTATCTTATTAGGCTCTACAAACTACTATATCGTATGGAATATTAGTTATAAAAGGCAAAATTCATAAGAACCTTGATATTCAATCATAAATATTATCAAAGGACTATTTATTGTATATACTGAGGCAATAACCATAGTCTCAGGTCGACCGTAAATAACCTATTTGAACTCGAGAGGGATATACATTAACCCAAGTTTCTACACCTTAATAGGAAATAAACAAGGTGGTATGTAGGAATAAAGCATATAAAACTCCATTAAAACTCAATATTCAAAATAATATATGGAGAAAGAAAGCATCTAGGTTGTTATAATTACTATCAATTTTGACCTATGTTTACTTACTTACTTACGCCTGTTACTCGTGAAAGAACACAGGCCACTCACCAGCATTCGCCATCCAACCTCGTCCTGGGCAATCCTTTCTAGCTCCGTCCAGTTGTAATTCATCGTTTTCATATCTGCTTCTATTTCCCGACGTGTGTTCTTTGGCCTTCCTCTTCTCCGCTTCCCTTCAGGATTCCAATTTGGACTTGCCTCGTGATGCAGTTTGACGATTTGCGTAATGTATGTCCTATCCATTTCCATCGTCTTTTCTAATTTCCTCTTCAGCTGGAGGCCGGTTTGTTCTCTCACACAGAAGGCTGTTGCTGATGGTATGCGGCCAATGGATGTTGAGTATCTTGAGTAGACAACTATTTATAAATACTTGTACCTTCTTGATGGTAGTTGTTGTAGTTCTCCAAATTTCAGCTCCATACAATAGAACTGCCTTGATTATCATATTGAAGATTCTGACTTTGATATTGGTTGAATGGTGTTTTGAGTTCCATATGTTCTTCAATTGTAAGAATGCGGTCCTTGCTTTTCCAATCCTCGCCTTTACATCTGTATCTGAACCTCCTTGTTGATCGATGATGCTTCCCAGGTATGTGAATCATTCCACATCTTCCAGAGTTTCTCCATCGAGAGTGATTAAATTGCTGTTCTCCGTGTTGTATTTGAGGATCTTGGTTTTCTCTTTGTGTATGCTGAGGCCTACTGATGCAGAGACTGCTGCTACACTGGCTGTCTTTATCTGCATTTGTTCATGCGTGTGAGATAAGAGGGCTAGGTCATCTGCGAACTCCAAATCGTCCAGTTGATTCTGATCTGTCCATTGTATCCCGTGCTTTCCTTCAGATGTCGACGTTCTCATAGTCCAGTTGACCACCAGAAGAAAGAGGAAGGGAGAGGGTAGACAACCTTGTCTGATTCCTGTCTTTACTTGGAATGTGTCTGTCAGCTGTCCTCCATGCACGACCTTGCACTGTAGTTCGTCGTATGAGTTCCGGATAATATTGACAATCTTCTCAGGAACTCCGTAGTGTCGAAGAAGTTTCCATAATGTCCTCCTATCCACACTGTCAAATGCCTTTCCATAATCAATGAAGTTGATGTACAATGACGAGTTCCACTCAACTGATTGTTCGACGATGATCCGTAGTGTCGCAATTTGGCCTGTGCACGACCGATCCCTACGGAATCCAGCTTGTTGATCTCGAAGTTGGGCGTCTACTGCATCCTTCATCTGGTTCAGCAACACTCTGTTGAAGACTTTTCCTGGTATTGACAGTAGTGTGATGCCTCTGTAGTTTTCACATTTGCTCAGATCTCCTTTCTTTGGAATCTTGACGAGGTGTCCTTCTTTCCAGTCCATCGGCACTTGTTCCTCCTCCCAAATCTTTTTGAATATAAGGTGAAGCATGCTTTTAGTTACTTCGATGTCTGATTTCAGTGCTTCAGCTGGTATGTTGTCGGGTCCTGCTGCTTTCCCGTTCTTGATTTGTCTGACGGCCATTCTAATTTCTTCCGTCGTTGGTGGATTGACATCTATAGGAAGATCTGTGTGTGCTGCTTCGATGTCCGGTGGATTCATTGGAGCCGGCCTATTCAGGAGTTCCTCGAAGTACTCTACCCATCTGTTACGCTGTTGTTGAATTTCGGTGATTGGCTTGCCTTCTTTGTCTTTGACCGGCCTCTCTGGTTTACTGTATTTCCCTGCTAGTTTCTTCGTTGTATCGTAAAGCTGTTTCATATTTCCTTCTCTAGCAGCTTTTTCTGCCGTCGTTGCTAGTTCTTCCACGTATTTCTTCTTGTCGGCTCTAATGCACCTCTTCACTTGTTTGTTTGCTTCTATGTATTCAGCTTGTGCTTGGACTTTCTCTGCTCGTGTTCGGCTGTTGTTAATTGCTGCCTTCTTGTTCTTCCTTTCTTTGATCTTGTCCAGTGTTTCTATAGAGATCCATTCCTTATGATGGTGTTTCTTTAGGCCCAGAACCTCTTGACACGTTGAAGTTAATGCTTCCTTGATGCCTTTCCAGTTGTCCTCCATAGTAGTTTCTTCTTCTTCAGTAGATCTTGTAAGGCTTGGAACCTGTTGTTGAGAGCTATCTTGAATTCATTGAGTTTGTCAGTATCTCGAAGGAAGGCTGTATTGAACCTTTGTAGTGCTGTTTGTCCACTTGTCCAGTTCTTTTTAGCTTCAGTTTTAAATTGGCTACAACTAGGTGGTGATCTGAAGCTACGTCAGCACCTCTCCTGGTTCTCACATCTTCCATTGTCCTTCGGAATTTTTTGTTGATGCAAATATGATCTATTTGGTTCTCTGTAGTGTGGTCCGGTGAGATCCATGTAGCTTTGTGTGGAAATATTGTGCCTCCTATGACCAATTTGTTGAATGCACACAGATTTGCAAATCTTTCTCCATTTTCGTTTCTCTCTTCCAGTCCATGTCGTCCCATGATATCTTCATATCCGGTGTTGTCTATTCCGACTTTGGCATTTAGATCTCCCATCAGAATAGTTAGGTCCTTTCTTGGGCATTTCTCAATGATTGACTGCAGCCGCTCGTAGAACTGATCTTTAATGTCGTCGTTGCTATCATTGGTGGGTGCATAACATTGGATAATATTCATTAAGATCCCCTCCTTCTTTGTTTTGAATGATGCTTTGATGATTCTGGATCCGTGAGACTCCCATCCTACAAGTGCATTTCGTGCTACTTTGGACAGCATAAGAGCGACTCCCTGAGTGTGTGGAGCATTGTCCTCTTCGTGACCGGAGTATAGCAGCATCTCTCCCGTAGCTAGCCTTTTCTGTCCAGCTTGGGTCCAGTGGGTTTCGCTGATTCCCAGTACTGCTAAGTTGTATCTCCTCATTTCCATTGCTATTTGACTGGTCTTCCCGGTTTCCCACATTGTTCGAACGTTCCATGTACCTATAAAAATTTTTGCTCTGGTTGTTAGAAGGGGCATCGGCCTCGTGGCTTCCGAAGGAACTCGGCTTTCACCATGAAGCGTCATAATTCTTCTAACTGAAGACCTTCTAACTCCCAGGGCAGAGTTTAAATGGTTTGAATAATTTTTTCTGGTAAGCGTTTTTTTAGCGAGTTAGTTTTCTACGGGATGGGGACGCTAACCCCATGCCCAACCCTCCTCCTTTACCCGGGCTTGGGACCGGTGGTAACTCTAAAAGAGCTACAGGCGAGATTTTGACCTATGCTAGTACTTTTAAAATATTCAACATTAGATGTACTAAAGGCAGTAACTGACGTTATCATTCTGGAATTTATAGTCAATAATTATTGTTTTTTGACGCTAATTTTATTTTATTCCTTGTGTATTTAAAACAAATACTCATTATTTTAACATTTTGAAAATTAGTTTTGATATGTAGAGCATTTGTGATATTTTTTTCTCAATCAATCGCCTAGTCATTTTGCATTGATTCTTTGTACAATTAGATATGGAATCATCCTGATATATTACGTCGTGCGATGGAAGAACATAAGGAGGCTATGGATTTTGATATAGAAGAGACAACAGCAAATAATAATTCGAATACAACAATGTCTTCCACAAGTCGACCACCTTACCAACGATCAAATAGCACCATTTCAACTAATCAAAATGAATCACAACAATCATGGGTTAGCGGCGGGGATTCCACTTCTATTTCTTCAGATTTAACCTCTGGTCAATTATCTGCATCAACAATTAATAATTCTACATATTCTGGGACTGATTCTTCTATGCCACCATCTTTTATGGCTCCGGTGAGTTGTCGATATTATATATTCCTAAATCATTTGACTAGCTCAATGCTTATAATTTTGACTTGTTCAATATTTGAGTTAGTAGAAGATTTTACATTATTGTCGATAAAGTAAGATCTTGTAAAGTGTTGGAGATAGTCTTTCCTAACAAAATTTTACACTGCGCTTGGCTAACATGTGAAGTGAGTATTATTGTTTTAACAACTAAAATCAAATCAGTAGCGAGCCGATGACCAAAGTTTTGTCAAATATTCAAGGAACTTCTGAGGCATTTCAGTAGGTTTCAACTTTTCAGGGGAATTTAGTTAACAATGCAACTATGTCTTTCGTATGCAATTGCGAGTCTGAATGAGTTCTTCAGAGGACGGTGGTGGTTTTTAAACCATTGTGTATTAGCAGCAACACGACCATAGCTTCTACCTTAATGTGGTGTTTGGGTTCGCCTAATATGATTACTCACCATTAATTGAACATACATTTTAGGTCCTTCAAGAATAATTATTCTTCGACTGTTTGGAAAGCCTGGAAGTGACACTTACCTCATACCTCTAAGAGCATCTAAAGTCATCTTGTTCACAACCAATCACCCCTCACCTGTTAATAATTCTCCCATCCCCACGACTAACCCTTCTCTATATCTTTATCATCATTCACCACCAATGCTAATAATTTAAGTTCACGAAGTATTATTCTTTATCTCCTGAAACCACTCTCTAAACTACACGTTGAGACTTAATGTTGTAATCTCGTGTCATATAGGACGGGGGCTTCTTTAGCTAAAACTCTAGAACCTCTGTGGATCGATGTATGCTGGGTCACCGAAACGCGCGTATAGGATCCAAATACGGTCATTCGTTTGATGTCACCTTGTCAGTATGAAGAAACGAGACGATTTACCCTTCGAGTATCTGGAGATCCGATTAAAACTTCCCAAGGCCTCATTGATGTAGATATAGAATTAAATTCTAAAGTATGACAGCCTCCAAATCCCCTGGTACGACTGAGGATGGGGAGAGCCCATTCCTTGTTCTATCTGTTCGTTTATCTCATGGATCTTTTTCTTGTAATATTTTGATTGTCACTTTTATTAATTGGTACATGGATGTCATTTGAATTGTTATCTCTCATTTTGAAGTGTGTTTCCCATCCTAATTTGATCTAAAGTTTCCTTTATGCATTTAAACTACTACTCTGGTACCGCCAATTGTGGGGGAAGAGTCAGCTCTCCCTCTTGAAATATTCTTACATGGCCACACGTTTACAGCCACTGTCTGGGAAGTCCTACTCAATGCCTTCTCATGGCGGGGATGTTGTTTACAAAATCGGGAGGACAAAAAGTGACTGTTCGGTGCTTTAACCGGGTTAGTGAATATGGAGGATCCACCTAGGGTAGTAGAAAACCTTGATTCCAAACCAATGGTGTACATGGGCTCCAGGATCCTAAGGAAACAAATGGCATATGAACCAATTGCTGGTCGCCAGCTACTGTAGGACTGCATCTCTTTACGTTGCTTCACTGCCTTATGGATTAAACCTTCAAGTCAAAGCCCCGGGTTGTGGCTCCCTGAGAAAACCACCTGCTTCGGTTTAGGCACTCGGGCAATATCATAGCCCTCACACAAATCAATGGTAACTGCTACTGGCCTCATTGTTATTGTGTGATGCATATATATTTGGTGCCTCCTTGTACCAATGTTTATGTTTACGAATAAATAAATAAAAGCAGAACAGGCTCTGTTAGTATGGATTCCCATAGGCAGATGCTCGTGCGCTGTCCGACTAACTTCATTAGCCGCAGTTCTGAAGGTTCACGTGCACAATATACCATGATTTAGTGGCACATTTTAATGAAGAGAGATTGCGTGTAGCAGTAGAAGCCAGGACGCGTGTTTCATTCTATCTGAAATTCGACAGTTAGATGTACCTGCATCTCAGAGTTGATATGGACTCTGGGAATTTGAACTTAGTGCATTTTTACTTCAAACACCAAGGTGTTATCCACGTGGCTATTAAGTTCAGATAGCCATTCATTGATGCAATGGATATAAATTTAATTTGTAGAAGTTTTAAAGTTATCCAGTTAATGATATTCTTGGTCTGTTTTAGTCAGCATAAAAATGCAAGTGACAGTAAACTTTGTAAGCTGATTTTGAAGATCTAAACGTTTCCATTAGTTTCATAAACATCACTGTGTACGTTCAGCTAAGCGAAAGTTATACATTATCTCTACCTTTGTATTTTCATTTTTGTAAAGATAAGTTTTGAACTTATGATTTTATGTATTATTATTTTGCACTGACATACTTGTTTTTCTTCAATAATTTATTTACAGAATCCTATGTTCCCTGCTTCTATGGTCGGTGGCGGAACTCCTTCCAACACTGGACAATCTAATACCGCACCTAACTCAGGCTATTTTTACACTCACAACTATACACATCAATCAAATGTTGGCACATATGACTGGGCTGGTGATCAAGAGTTATGGGGTGATGATTTTAAAACTGGTAATATAGAGCATAGTGGCAAAGTTCTACTGTTCTTAGACATATTGAAAGGAAGTGTTTTAGCCGGTGATAAATTATTAGTTTTTACACAGAGTTTGTACACATTAGATTTGTTAGAGCGCATATTGCGCCATTTGCCATTACCGATTATCGGTGTTGATAAGTCAGAAACAGTTCCAGCAAAATCATCGGAAATTCCATTAGAAGACATTGGCAAATCCGAAATCTCATCTTACAATCCCTCAACAACGATACACAAGAATAATGAACAGAATCAAGATGATCATAAATGCAGTGAGTCAATGTTTGGTTACGATGGAGTTGATCACTTTCAATCGAATCAACCTAATGAGACGATGAAACAAGAAGGGCAGGAAAATAGTAAAGAAGAGATCAAGAACAAGATGGAAACAGAAGAAGAGGAAGAAGAAACTCCGAAATCTTTACACTATAGGCTGTCGACACGTCGAGGTTGTATGGATGAACCGACTGTGTGGACTCGCAATGTCCATTATTTCCGTGAGTTATATATATTTTCTTATGTTTATCATACCATAATCTCTTTGTAAATGGTGTTCAGCTAGTCAGTTCTAAGCAGCAACGTAGAACCTGATATGACCTCATCAACCAAATTGTCGTATTTGTTTAGTATCCTTTGACTAACTTTAACATAACTGATCACTTAAATCTGCTTGCTCTGTAACGACCTAGTTGAGCCTATGTTAATAGTGTATTCTGTTTCTAATTGTTTCACAGATATTTCTTTGTATCTGTACTGCCGATTAGTTTTCCTAACTACTCGATGTCAATTTATGGAATGTTTGCCCTTAGTGTTTGATGAAATGAGGTTGCAAAATTAGTCAAATTAGCACACTTCTGTTTTATCTTTCTCTAAATCTTGAGTTGAGTAACATTTCTAGTTTTTGATTTGTCCCATTCAAACTACTGCTCAAATTTCGATCTACATTATTCTCTTTTTTATCTCCAGTTCTCTGTTTTTCATCTTGTTTATTTTTTCATGGATTGTTAATTGTGATATATAGTAACTTGAATTCAATGCATACTCGTATCACGTTCTACATCTATAGTGACTAACTGAATGACTTCTAGTGTAAATATGTCTGATATTTGGGTTATTACTATATAGACTATGATTTTGGTCAAACTCTGCCGATTGAATTTAGTCAGGTTTATTATACTAATGACTGACTAGTAGTATTCTCATTATTTTGAGACTCGATAAATAACTTCACTACGTTCAAACACACATGTAGTAGTGACTTTGAATATTTGTTTAAGCTGTCTTTGATATTTTAGGTTTCGCAATCTAAATATTAGGTATGACGTTTCTTTATTGAACTATATCTATCCTACAACTTAGTTTGCGATGTCAATATGCTAATTTTGTTCATTGTCTTTAAACACTCAGTAAACTAGTTTATTGGTGCTTGTTCAGCTTTGAAATGTATCTGCTTAAATTGTATTCTGTATTTTCACTCAGTATGGTAAAATATATTTAACGTACTATTTTCTCCAACCACATGTATAGGTCTAGATGGTAGTACAAATGCAAGTGAACGTGAGAAATTAATCAATAATTTTAATGATCCTAAAAATCCAGCAAAACTGTTTCTTATGTCAACTAGGTGAGCTCAATCTATGTTCCATTGTTATTAACGGTTATGCAATGATATATTGTCTATTGATTGTGGTTTGTGTTCTTATTATTATTTCTCCAATATTTGTATATCTTCATTCATAATTAGTCGTAATCATCTACTCTAAATTAAGTCTCACATAACAACTGTATGACTAATGTTAAGATCTTTCTGCACAGGAATTAAGTTGTTTATTCAAGGATATTCCAGTCAGTGGTTTAATTATTACTGCTTTTCACCAACTATTTTGTTCAATAAATACGTAAACTGAGCTTTACATCGATTTTCAAAACACTCCTCATTTGTACCAATATACTTGTCATATCCTTATTTCTATTGTTCAAACCACGCCCATGGAAACCGTCAAGCGTTAAATTTTCTAGCTGTTTCATTTAACGTTTTGCGGTTAAAGTGTACTTTGTTGAGAATCTTGAGCAACTTATCAACCAATTAAGAAATAGCGTGTAATTATAAAACAGTAATAAAGTAACGGTGTAATAATCGCCTTGTTATAAATACATAACCTTCTCATGTTGAATTATTCTTTAAATTAAAGGAAAGAGGTTAAGTTTACATATTAAGAATTGGGCTAGTGTTGTGAGTTAGGGTTATAAATTCAGAGTTTTCATTACATCTATAATTTAATGCTGAGAATTCTATATTGTACCAAAATATAATATTGAATAAAGCCATTAATAATAATAATACCCTTTTGTTTACAAATTTAATAAACTTGGGTTTGAGATTTAGTCGAGTTGATAGTTGTCCCTATCTTTAAAAAGAGTTCACGTCGTTTCTGTAACAACTATCGGGCGATAAGTCTACTTCCGATTGCGTCCAAGCTATTGGCTTCCGTCATACTTCGTAGGTTGTTCAAAACCCGAGAATGATTGACTCGCGAGGAGCAGGCTGGGTTTCGTTCTGGTCGAGGATGTATTGATCATATCTTCACCCTCCGCCAAATGTTAGAACATCGCCATACTTATCAAAGGCCAACAATCGTAGTGTTCCTTGACATCAGGGCTGCCTTCGATTCGTTGGATAGGACTGCTCTCTGGGATTGTCTATTGAAGAAGGGTGTGTCTGAGAAGTTTATTAACATCCTAAAAGCCCTATACACAAACACCTCAGGCAGAGTGAGGGCATACAACCACCTCTCTCCATTGTTCCATCCAAGCAGTGGGGTTAGGCAGGGTTGCCCAATCTCACCATTCCTTTTCAATGGCGATGTGGATCTGTTGCCTGGAGAAAGACTTCTCGAACTTGAGCGTGCGGATGATATTGTCTTACTGTGCGATAATGCCCAAGCCATGCAATACGCACTTAATCAGTTGGCAATCAGTGTCCGTAGGTACGGTATGTGCTTTGACCTTCGAAGTGCACAGTGTTTCTACAAGACTGGCATGATTCTAATCCTGTACTCACCCTGGATGGTGAGCAGATAGAAGTAGTCGAGATGTTCGTGTATCTAGGTAGCTGCATAAGTGCTGGTGGTGGCGTGAGTGGTGAGATCGATTCACATATAATAAAAGCTAGAGCGGCTTATGCAAATCTGGGCCATCTTTGGCGCCTTCGTGATGTTAGTCTGGCTGTAAAAGGTTGGATCTACAACGCGTCAGTGAGAGCAGTTTTGCTCTGTGTTTGTGAAATCTGGCCTCTCCGAGTTGAGGATGTTAGACAACTCTCTGTGTTTGATCATCTTTGTCTCCGAAGGATTGCTGACATCCAGTGGCAACACCATGTTAGTAATGCAGAGGTTTGGCATCGTGTTTTCGGGCTCAGTGACGATAATCCACTTGGTGTCACCATCTTGAAACATCGACTTTGGTGGCCTGGACATGTTCTTTGAATATCGTCCCAGAGAATTCCTCGTCGTGCATTATTTGCCGACTCTGGGACTGGTTGGAAGAAGCGGAGAGGTGGTCAGCGTATGACATGGTGTCGTGGTATGAAAGAAAGCTGCGAAGGGCTGGTTTGTGTTGGTCCTTCTCGACTCCCTGGTTTGGGGTCCGAGAGATAGTGCTACACAGTGTCTAGAGATATTATCAGATATGACTCAGAATAGAAGCCAGTGGCGATCTTGCTGTAACCTTCTTTTTCTTTCTTCATAAAAAGTGGTTGTAACTCTCCTAACTGAAAAAATTCTTTTTGGTTGTACCTTTCTGTTTCCCCCATTATTATTATTATTATTATTATTATTATTATTATTATTATTATTATTATTATTATTACACTACCATACACTAACCTGTGGTCGCTATTCTTTTTTTTCTTGTATGCACCTTACATTCTTTTTCTCTTCCCATTCTTATTGTTATTGTGTGGCACATATATATATCTGGTGCCCCCCTTGTACCAATATTTATGTGTTCAAATAAATAAATGAGATTTAGTGTGAGAGAATATCTTCCTACATTAAACACTTTTGACTATACATTGAACCACAACAAGTACTTTAACACAGTCGGTATTAGGAACAAGTAGTTTTAGGATTGAGCTTAAGCACCATCTTATGTACACTTTTTGGTTGCATGATATTTTCGTCGATTTCATGTATTTTAGGAACTAAATATTACCAATTTTTATTTGGTCGAAATAACGTAAAAGTTTTCTATCACTTCACTCTCAATTTCTCACAAAATACACTAGGTTTCCTTTTAATTCTGCTTTACTCATGGCTGGAATTGTGTTCACATGTGATTTTTCTATAACTAGCTCATCACTATTCATTCGGAGAGTAGCAAACCTGAAAGTATTAAAGACCCACTATACGTCTACTTTTTTCTTTCATAAAATAAGCCTCTGGTCACTTGATTTTCCATGATCCTTCTATTTACAACCTTTATTGAAATGCTTGATCCACTTGGAAAATGTTGCCCTCATTAGCATCCTCTGGCACTGGATTAGTATTCTCAACTTTAGTTTGTATATTCATTGGACGAACCATATATGCATGAGAATATTGTGTTTATTTGTTTACTAATCCATTTTTTTGTTTGCTATAGAGCTGGTTGTCTAGGTGTTAATTTGATTGGAGCGAATCGTGTTGTTGTATTTGATGCTTCATGGAACCCATGTCATGATTGTCAAGCAGTTTGTCGTGTTTATCGATATGGTCAAGTAAAACCGTGTTATATTTATCGACTTGTTTCAGATAATACTATGGAGAAGAAAATATACGATCGACAAGTAAGCTTTTAAAAATATCTTTCAGACCTTTTTTCCAGTGTAAAGGAGATCTACCTACATATGTCTCTGACATTATAGAAACACTAGACTATTATACTATACTACGTGATTATTTCAAGATGGCATCTGGTAGACGATCGCTTTTCGTGTATTACAAACACTTATAAACCTATTGTGTATCTAACGCAATAGATCGAATCTACCACTACGGTTAAATTACCTTAAAAAAGGCGGTCACGAGAATCGATAGTTCATGAGAATGGTTAAACTGTAATGATATCTTTATAAGGTAGATTTAATTTTTTAAGTTTAAAGGAGAATAGTGAAAAGATTGCTTCAAACATAATTGACATTAGCGTTGTGTATAGAGTTCTCAACCAATATTTACTTACTTCTGCCTGTTACCCCTCGTGGCGGAGTACAGGCCGAATACCAGGATTCTCTATCAAATGAATATCTTGGTTCATCTTTCTGAACATTCTCACCACCCTGTATGGAATATTATCACTCAATGGATTATATTTTTCTATTCTAAATTTTAAGGTAACTAAACAAGGCATGTCAGATCGTGTTGTCGATGAATTAAATCCAACACAACAGTTTACTCGTTCACAAGTGGAGTTATTAATGTCATTTGAGGATAAAGATATGGAGACTATCACAGATGATGATTTAGAAACTTGTAAAGATATCATCCAACCAGATCCAATACTTGCAGATGTTTTAAAAAAGCACACTCGATGGATTACAAAAGTAAGTTTTACTTTTTTTAAATATTGTGAATATAAATGAATTTTCATCGACTTAGGTGGTTTGAATATATATTACGTATACCGCACCACGCCTCGATGAACGATGTTGTATAGTATAGGAATAGCATGTATCTACAAAGAAGACGAGATTATAAACACAAGGCGAGGCGAATCGAACGTCAGTTTCCTAACGGGTTCAGTCAGTCGGTCATCTACAACGTAGGACCAGGCGTATATATGCATCAATCTAAGTTGCCACACCTCATTAGCACAACAAGATGAACAATAAATTCATAGAAGCATTTCAATGGTAGTAAAAAAGATTGCATATAAGGATATGATACAGGTAGAAAGAATTAGTTCGTAGAAAGAAAGATGTAAAAGCAATTTCAATTTCACGGTTTAAGGGAGGACAACGAGTGTATACACCTACGCTACTGTAATCGATTCTGAACCATGTCACACAGAGTCTCCAACCATGGTTACGATAGTCGCGTGGAACCCAACCAATCAGTCTGCATCTACCAACATGGCTCAGACCAAAAGTTATTGATTTCAAGCCCCTAACTTTCTCCCAACCATCCCCAACACTAGTCAGTACCGCGCGCCGTGGTAATGGGTGGTTGGGCATACGTGATACACTGGCTACCATTGTATGTATGAAACTTTCGACAATGGTGGCCTGTGTATGTAGTGGGTGTCATCATAAGAAGAATTGGTGACGTGATGTACGAAAATAATGTTCCAGGTAAATGCCTGACGAGACGCGTAATTCACATCCGGGATAGACGACTAAATTCGGATACCCCCCTAACACGAACTTGCCATTCGGTTATTTAATTCATCTAGTCAGTCTAGAGCAGCAAGATCAGCTCAGACGAAGTAATGACCAGACCCCAAGAAGATCATTGAGAGGAAGACATTTACCTCAACTTCTCTGGTTAAATTCAAGGCGCAAGACTTATTATTGAGAGGGAAAGTTGATATTGTGAGTCATTCAGAAGTAACCTACCTAGAAGGTCAATCGATGGCATTCAGAATTGACCTGACGGATATATATATATATATATATATATATATATATATATATATATATATATCATGCTCTTTAACCGGGTTAATGGATATGAAGGATCCACCTAGGGGAGTTGGAAAACTCTGATTCCAAACCAACGGTGTACATGGGCTCCAGGATCCTAAGGAAAGAGATGGCGTATGAAATTAATGTTGTTCACGGCTACCATAGAACTGCATCTCCTGACGTTGCTCCACTACCTTGTGTATTGGACCTCTAGATCAAAGGTTCGGAAAGTGACCACGTTAGGTAACCGCATTCAGTTCAGGTATCTGGGCAGTACCGCAGCCCATACGCAAATCTAATGATAACAACTTTGTGTGGTGCATATATATAGTTTGGTGTTTGTTTGTACTCATCTTTATGTGTTTAAATAAATAAATATTTCGTGATTATTCACTGTTCAACTCTTGTTCATTTATTCTATTCATAATATGTATGTTGGATTTAATTTTCTTACTATTAGCGACCATTCACCCATGAATCATTATTAATTGATCGGAAAGATTATCGTTTGACACGCGTTGAAAAGCGTATGGCTCGTCAACGTTATGAACAAGAGAAACGTTTAAGTTTAAGCTATCAACAAGCCCATTTATTTCAGTTACAGCAAATGCAAATTTTACAACAACAACAACTTTTAGCCGCTGGAATTAATCCTGCTTTGGTGGATTCATCTCGGTAAGTGGTAGTTATCTATTTTAAAAAAAATTGTTATTCGATTTAGTTGTTTTTATTTTTCTACATCGTGTTTGTGTTTGTTAAAACATTTTTATTTTGCTTGTTTTCAGTACCCAGAGCATCTTATTATCTGTATAAAGGAAAATATTTGGGTCGAGAATACATGAGTGCAATTATTGCGCTAATATATACATTAACAAACGAGAGAGAAGAAAAGCTGACAAGCAGAAATATGTGGAAGACCTAGCAACGACAGTGGAAAAGACTGTAAGACAAGGAAATATTAGTCAACTATATGACACAACAAAGAAACCGATAAAGAAATACAGTGTACCAGAGAGACCAGTCTAGGACAAAGAAGGCAAACCAATCACTGTAATTCAAGAGTAGATGGGTGTAACACGTAGAGGAACTATTGAATAGGCCAATTTCTTTAAATCTATCGAACGTCGATGCAACACCCACGGACCTTAAAAATGTCACTTCACCAACGATCGAAGAAATCAAAATGACAATCAGACAAATAGAGAGTGAGAAGTCAGCAAGACCTGACAATATACCAGCTGAAGCTCTGAAGTCAGCCATAGAAGAAACTGCAAACATGCTCCATGTTCTATTCAGGAAGATTTAAGAGAAGAATCAGTACCGGTGGACTGGAAAGGAGGATACTTCGTCAAGGTACCGAAGACGAGAGAGATCTCAGCAAGTGTGAGAACTGTAGAGGCATCACACCGCTATGGGCACCAGGAAAAGTTTTCAACAGCGTGTTGCTGAATCAGATGAAAGATTCAGTAGACACCCAACTTTGAGATCAGCAGACTGGATTCCGTAAGGATCGGTCGTGTACTGACCAAATCGTGATACTACAGACCATCATTCAACAATTAGTTGAATGGAACTCGTCACCATCCAATAATTTCCTTGACTATGAGAAAGCATTCGGCAGTGTGGATAAGAAGACACTATGGTGTGACTATCTGAGAAGATTGTCAACATCATCCGGAATTCATACGACAGATTACACTGCAAAGTTGTGCATGGAAGACAGCTGACGGTCGCATTTCATATGAGGACTGGAGTCAGATAAGACTGCTTACTCTCATTATTTCTCTTTTTTCTAGCGGTTAAATCGATTATGAAGACCTCCACATCCCAGTGAAAGCACGGAATACTATGGACAGGTTGGATGCAAGTGGACGATTTGGACTTCGCAGATGACTTACCTCTTCTATTCCCTACACACCATTAAATGCAGCTGAAGACAGCCAGTGTAGCAGTTCTACTGTAAGGAGCTGAAATTTGGGGAACTATCAAAACAATCATCAAAAGGTACAAGTATTTATAAACAATTGTCTACACAAAATACTCGATGACCGTTGACCGGATACCATCAGAAACAACCTACTGTGCGAGAGAACAAACCAGGCTTCAGCTGAAGAGGAAATCAGGAAAAGACGATGAGAGTGGATGGGACATACATTACGGAAATCAACAAACTGTATCACGAGGCAAGTGCTAACTTTTAATCGTGAATGGAAACTGAGAGGAGGAAGGTGAGAGAACACACTGCGTGGGGAATCGGAAGCAGACATGAAAAGAATGAACAGTAGCTGGAAGGGATTTTCCAGTACAGAGTTCGGTGGGGAATGCTGATAGGCGGCCAATGTTCCTCCACGATGGGTAACAAACGTAAGCAAATAGTCTAAGGTTATTGGAAGCGTTTAGGAAGTCTTTAACAAACATTCAAGCTAGAGACATAATATGTTAACGTGTTTTTTTCAATTATTTTTAATTTTTATAGCTTCTACAATTCCCGAACTCCTAACATCCTCTCCCGAAATACCATTAACTATCGACCAACTTATACAAGTGGAATGGCAGCTCTAGATGCGATGCGTCAGGTTGATCGACAAGCACGTCTACGAATGTTACAAAAAGACTTAGATGAAGCACGTCGGCGTTGTGGGTACGCAAAACCTGATGGTCTAAGTAAGTTTGTTTTGCTTGTTGTTTTGCATTGATTCCAAACTTAGTTTTCTTGTGGTTTTTATCTTTTTATATATCTCCCGTGTTTTCGAACTATCTTTTCAAACTTTTTTTTGTAGTCATAGCTGTCAGGTGTTATGGATTAATTATATGATTTATAATGAAAGGATCTTTGGGAATAGTTATGTCAATGGTTGAAATAGGGCTGTCGATTTTTAATATGCAATGATCGAATAACGTTTTCTCACAAAACTAGTTTACAAATTCACCCTGCAAATCCCAATTAAATTGGTATCAAAAGACAAGTTAGCTGCCTATAAAAGTAGGTTTTATTCAACAAACCATCATGTCTGCGAAACATCGACAAAGACCCTAAATCTAACTTCTCTACTTGTTTACAATTCTCAGAAAATCATACCTCCTGCTCCTCTATCAGGTAATGAAAACGCGCGTAATCCACTGTAACAGTTTCTGATAAGTGGTTCACCTTTTCAACAAATCTAATTATAAATTATACTGTACAATGATGATTAAATTGCAGAAGTTTACTTCATACTTTTTTCTCAATATAAATCGCAGTAATCAAAAGGCTCTGTTAAGTTTTCATAGTACAGTTTAATTTTCCATATCAGTCATTGTTTGTACAAATATATCCATTGGTGCTTAAATGCATATTTAGAGGATTGTCTCCATATTTCGAATGATGTATAATTACAAAAATAATGCTATTTATTAAGATTAATTTTTTTAGTCAGGATCAACAAAGAACATTCAACGTAAAAAACTGACAGGAAGAAAATTCCAAAATCCATATTTTCAAACATATATTACTTACAAAAAATATAGGAGATGATTCCACTTGATTCACAAACGTACTTAAGGGAAGCATATAGTAGTCAGTCAATCGTTCGGTTAGTTAGTTGTAATCAGCATTAAACTTGAATGTACATTCATTTTCTGACTTAGAATACGCAGACGATATAGTTCTGTTTAGTAAAGAATCTTCTGACCACCTTAAGCAACAATGCAAACATATTTGGAATGCGGTTCTCTCCCTTTAAATGTAAAATGTTACTTCAGGATTGGTTTGATTCATAGCCTGAATTAGTGATAGAAAGTGAAGTAGTTAAACACAAAGACCACCTCACTTATCTTGCGAGTTTCATTAGCCTTGATGGTCTGGTGTTTAAAGAAATCCCTACACGGATTCAGAAGGCTCGATTGATTTTCACCACAGTGCGTCACTTGTGACATATGTGAGATAGTCGTTTTCCAACCAAAGGACAAGTTTATTGCATAGCAGTTTGCTCCTTACTACTTTATGGATGTGAAAAATGGCCATTACAGGTAAAGAATATTCATAGGTCACTGGTATTCGATCATGTATGCCTTCGAATCATTCCTCGTGTATTTCTGGACCATGGAGTAAACAATACATGGGTTAGGAATAGAGAACTAGGTAAAGATGGCAAATCAACTGATAAGTTAATAAATCTCCATCAACTCAGGTGATAGGGACACGTGTTACGTATGCCCACCCACTGCCTACCTCGAGGGCTAATGTTTTCCGGTGGAGTAGGATAGAAAAAAGCTATTAACGACCAATCCAAAATACGTTATCAGTACATGAAGTCACAGACAATTGGTTAATAGATGTAGACTAACTGGTTAGTGTACTGGTGATTATCATAATCAGTGGTTAAAAGCTGAATGACTTGGCTCGAAATCGATTGTAATGGAACACATGCATGCACTCTTTTTTGTGTAACCCTTTATCTGACTTTAGTTAGATCATATGATAATTGTCATCGAAATATATATGCCGCCAAACCTCGTATGTAATCATCGACTCAAATCTCGTTAGTGAATAACGGAATTAAATAATCGCTGAAAACTTCCCATCATAATTAAACACAATTGTATGAACGAAGAATATTCTTTTCAATGAATTTCATATCAGCTTCTACAATTATAAATTCAAATTAATAATCCATGAAATTGGCCAGATTTAAGACAGAGAGTACATCATCATTTGGAAATTGTGAATATGTGAATTGTTGTTTGTTACATAAAATCAAATCAAATAGTTAATGTTAGGGCTGTTTAATATAATGTGTTAACTTGAATCCGTTTTATAAGTGAAATGAAATTGTGAGATAAATCATGATCAGAATAAATATGGTCAATATGGGGTAAGAGAGAAACTAATGGAATAAAAATCGGAAATTACGTAATATGTAGAATAATATGAATTAGGTCAAATATAGTAGATAAGGCTGGATACTAATTGAATTCCTCAAAAGGTTATCAAGTGTAAAGATAATAATAATAATAACAATGATAAAGATGATAATCACAGTGGTTAAGGTAATAATAATAATAATAATAATAAAGTTTGGGGCATAAAATGAACATTAATCAGATTACGTCATCATATTATAAAATTAATTATTAACTAGTTGGCCAGGGTAAAAGGAGTGACTGAACATACTTCTTTTGGATGTAAAGCTCTGGCTTTTTGATCCGAATCGCAACTGCTTCAGCCGTCTGTAGGATTCGCAGTCTGACGGAATTAGGTAGACTTTTGTTAACACGATAGATTATTGCAAAAATTGCTCCATATTTGCTGGATGTCCTGTTTGAACTAGATGGTCTAAGATGGAGTTGTTAACAGTTCTGACTACACCTCTGCTTAACCACACGGGGAGGTGCTCACGAGCCCGAATGTACAAATTCCTAGAACATCTGCGAATATAATTTCCTTCACAGGAGCAGTTGAATTGATAAATACAGAACGAGGTGGCTAGCCTAGGTAATTTATCTTTCAACCTCGGAGTGATTATTGGTCGTGTGGAGAATATTAGTTGTAGTTTAGCTGCATTACTTTGCTGTAAATCTGACCAATTTTATGGATTATTAATTTGGATTTATAATTGTAGAACCTGATGAGAAATTATTGAAAAGGAATTAAATAAGTCGAACATGAGAATGAATTTCGACTAAGTATGTTGATCCAGACGAACTTTCAGAGAAACGCAACGAATAGATAAAGGCACGTTAGCCAAGTTGGTTTAACCAAGCGTAAATCGATATTTATAGCTAGATCAAAATAAGCTACAGACATGTGATGAATAGGATAAGCAATAAACACACATATGCTCTTACGAAAGACAGTTAAGGGTGGCCAAACCAAAACGTGGCATCAGTGTTTGAAGTCACTAACTTGTAGTCTGACCCATGTTGGTAGGTGCAAACTACTTGTTTGGGGTCCGCGTGACTATCGTAACCAATGGTTGGAGACCCTGGGTGACATGGCTCAGAATTGATCACTATGGCTTAGGTGTATACACTCTATCTTCCCTTAAACTAAGAGATTAAAATCGCTTCATGTCCTTCTTTGTACGAACTAATTCTTTTTTCATGTACTATATCCTTATTGCAATCTTTCTTTTATATATTACCACCTCTGAATTAACTACTTTTATGAATCCGGTGTCCATCTTGTTGTGTTAATGAGTATGGCAACTTGGACCGATGCATATATGTGCCTGGTTCTACGTTGTAGCTGACTGACGAAAAACAGTCAGGGTTAATAATCGAATAAGTGACAGTAAAAATATGGCTTGAGAAGAATGAATAGATCGGTCTGTCCGGAGGCTAGAATAATCTTTGTGGGCTTGACACATTACTAGCACCTACGTTTTAACTTTCCCCAAAATTCAGAGATTCTAAATCCCTCAACCTTTTTGTTTTTATTCCAATAATTTATATTTCTTCTTGAATCTGATCTTCGATACATAATCTTTCTTGTTACCACTGGTACTAGGTAAGGATAGCAAATCAATTGATGAAGTAGTGAAACTTCACTTGGGATGGCTGGGACACGTGTTACGTATGCCCAACGACTGACTGCCCCAACGTGCGATGTTTTATGATGTAGGAGTAGGTTGGAAGGGGGCTAGGGGCGGCCAGACCAAGTCCATGAAGTCACTGACTAGTAGACTGATCCATGTTGGTAGGTGTAGACTACCTGGTTGGGGACTGCGAGATGATAGCACTCGATGATTAGAGACCTTGAATGACGTGGCTCAAAATCGTTTGCAATGGCGCAGGTGCATCCACTCTCTGTGTTCTCCCAAATTATAATCTTCTGAATTCTTCATGTCCCTTCTTTTTTTCTTTCCAAATTGAATTCACTGGATTATACTCCTTGAATAATATCTTCCAACCCTAATCTCTCCGAATACTGCTGACACTTTTACTACCTCTATCAGTATGGCATTTGAATCGATAATTGTGTCTCTGTGCTAACGTGGTATAGCAACTTGAACTGATGTACGTACGAATTTCTACATTCTTACTGACTGATTGATCTCTTGTTTTCTAGGGTTCAGCCTTCTGTGCTGCTGGGGTATGGCAACTTTGACCAATGTACATACTCTGTGTTGTGACTGATTGACAGTCGATTTCACTTCATATTATGTAACATTTTCTTCCATTGGTCACGTTTATCTCTCGAACATTGGCCATATTATTTACATCTACCACCATCATGACTCTGTTTAACTATCGATGATTTCATGAACTAATATCACATCTTCCTTTGATCATTCCTAGTTTCCGATCTACGTATTAAGATAGATTGGCTATTGGCTATTTATAATACTTATGTTAAGTAAAATAATTAATCATGAATAGCATTGACAGCAATATATGGGTTAGTTCACATGTCGGTCATTACAACAAAATCTGTTCAACATGTATGCTTTAGGTCTCAAAATACACAGTCTTTTTGTTATGTCTGTCACTTGTAATCTCTGGTATACCTAATTGACTTGTGCTTGATACTGGCGACCCCAAATTCGACGACTCGTCGTGAAAACCCAAAGAATGACAATATGGATTTGTTTGACCCTGGGAATAAATCGAACTGTCGTCTGAATAAACTAATTTTCATATGATCAGATCAACATTTGAATATGTATCATTTAAACTGATTAGTATTTAACATCAGTCAGTTAATAACTTACTATGTGAACACATATTTACCATATCGTACTGATCATTTTTCATACTGACTTAAGTTTTCTCTTTCGATTCTGTCACATCATATGGGTACGTATTTATCACCTATTGTTACTTTGTAATAAACTCAACACATTTATAGATTATCAAAACTTTTCATGTATATTCAGTTATATGTTTTACTTCATTACCAATATCACTTCATCTTTTCTTACTGTAGGTAAAATAATTGAATCTCCTGATTGTAAAGTGACAAGGATTGTAGCTAATACTGGTGAGTAACTCAACTACACACGTTTGTGAATATTTTGAATATGCCCTATAACCCTGTTAATGATTTTAAAAGTTTATTTTGTGGGGAAAAAATAAAGCATTTACTATTTTGATATCGTTTCAACTTTTTTTTTCTGCGCTGCGAGATCTCACTACAAAACTCCCACGAAGTTTGGTAGACTGTCGATGAGTTGAATAGTTTTTTGAACATTTTTTTTATTTCAATAGCTACTAATTGGAATCGAACTTAAATACACTTTTGGTTAATACATTTCATAACTCATCATTCATGTATTTAGTATTTCCAAAGCAGAAAAAGTGGTCAGTCATAAACATTTTAGGATTTGATACAATGTTTGTACACTTCAAACCAGTACAACAAGAACAAACTAATATTCTGAATAACTTCAATGATAGTAAAAAATATTGCAAGAATCACGATTTAAACGAAGATTTAAAAAAATACATACATCTTCAATCATAGATGACATTTATTTCCATTGACCCATCATTAAGTAGTGGTCGATTTCAAGAAGTTTGTATCTCCTAATGAAATTCGAGTGAGTATTAATTAGCTTCATGAAATTTAACCATATCTTGGTCTGATCATTTATAATTTTCACACAGTTTACTCATATGCCAGTCAGCACTGCAGATTGATGTACATATTGGCTAGTAGTGTAGTATTTATTTTAGCCGCTTGAGTTTATTAAGGTTTGTAGCCCCATAACTCACCCTATTACAACTAACATTGATTCCACTGTACACAAGCGGCGCTTCGAAGATATGTTTGGTGAAATGCCTTCATAGGTCATATTTTGCAACTATGAATTAATGTCAAGCGACCTGCAGTTCATTCTTCATTTTTTGACACATTGACACATCTCTATTATACGCCATGCTGATAGAACCCAAAAGAGTGCTTTGTTACGTCGATGTTTTATCAGGCACCATCCGGTCCTGAGATAATCTAAGGAGTCCAAGCTGTCAACTACCATTGTTGTCAAGTTTTAAAACAATGTTTTGGATTTAAGTGAGGTTAGTACACTTTCACTGGATAAATTTCTGCTAGTCTTTGCACTTTTCAATATTTTCATTCCAAATTAAGATGTTTTGTGTTGTAGATCGATTAAACCGAGGAGATAAAAGTAAATTCAATAATAACCGTTAGTCCAAGTGCCTGCACATTTTCACAACTTTCTCAACAGTTTTGGTACCCTAATATAAATTATCATGTTAATTTTTCTCTCCCGACCAACTTGTTGATTGTCTAGTCTCTTTAAATATTTTTTTCTGAGTAGTTTAACTAGTGCTATTTTGCCATGTTTCCACTGTTTTTGATTATTGTCGAAATTTTATTCATGAATTAGTAACATTAAACGACTCCATGTTTCCAAACCACTTATAGTCTTTAATTAATACATGTTCCTAAAATACTGTGGTAATAATAATAGTTAAAACGATTTCTTTTTCAAAATGTATTACCCGACTTAAGTTTAATCTTCTATTGAACTCTTTATTACTAATCTAACAATCATCGTACGTTATATTGTCCAATGAACGACATTCATTCCTTCATAATCGATTTAATCTTAGCCTGTTACAATAGTTCGTAACCTTGATTACAGGTCTGAATGCAAATAAGAGACTATTTGTATTTAGTGTTGCATCATGAACTGTTGTCAATTAAAGAACTTTTGAAAACCAAAGACAATTAAATTATTATTTCTTTTTAAATCGTCGGGATGCCTCAGTAGCCCGCAATCAATCTGGACAATTTTCTGTGTTTATTGAATTAAGGAATTGATCAAAGTTACTCTGTATTGTATATAGGTAAAGCCCTCACCTCCAGGCTTTAGAATTTTCCTAAGTCCACTGGTTAGAAACTCAAAACTTCTAGTATTCTCTAGATGTTGCCATTTCATAGGGTTAACTGCCTTGATAGAAATAATTTTATTCTGAAATCAATCCAAGTACATTTTATTTTTTGTCAATACATTTGAAACACTAATATTTATCTTATGTAGTGTACTTATTTTCTTACCTATCGTGGAGGAACACAGACCGCCAATCAGCATTCTCCATCGAACTCTGTACTGGAAAATCCCTTCCAGCTACTGTTCATTCTTTTCATGTCTGCTTCCAATTCCCCACGCAGTGTGTTCTCTCACCTTCCTCCTTTCAGTTTCCATTCACGATTACAAGTCAGCGCTTGCCTCGTGATACAGTTTGTTGATTACCGTAATGTATGTCCCATCCACTCTCATCGTCTTTTCCTGATTTCCTCTTCAGCTGAAGCCTGGTTTGTTCTCTCGCACAGTAGGTTGTTTCTGATGGTATCCGGTCAACGGTCATCGAGTATTTTGTGTAGACAATTGTTTATAAATACTTGTACCTTTTTGATGATTGTTTTGATAGTTCCCCAAATTTCAGCTCCTTCCAGCCTCTCATAAAACTGATCTTTATCGTCCTTATTGCTATCATTGGTAGGTGCTTAACATTGTATAACATTCATTGTGGTTCACTCCTTCTTTATTTTAAAGGACACTTTGATGATCCTGGATACATGATATTCCCACCCGATCGGTGCATTTCTTGCTTCTTTGTACAGCATCATAGCAACTTCCTGAGTGTGGGGAGCATTTCCCTCTTCGTGACCGGAGTACAGCAGTTTCTCTCTCGTTCCTAACTTTTGCTATCCATCTTGGGTCAAATGGGTTTCACTGATTCTGAGAACCGCCTAGTTGTATCTCATCATTTCCGTAGCTAATTAACTAGTCCTCCCGGTCTCCTACATTGTCCGAACATTCCACGTACCTATATTAATTGTGTCTCTGGTTTTTAGAAGGGGCATCGACCTCGTGACTTCCGAAGAATCTCGGCTTTCATCATGAGATCTCATAGTTCTCCCTTCAACTCCCAGGACACAGTTTAAATCGTTTATTCTAGTTAGCTTTTTCTAGGTGATGGGATTGTTGACCCTATGCCCAACCCTCCTTTGTGTGGGCTTGGGACCGGCAGTAGCACTAGAAAAAGGCTCCCGGCAGAGTTGGTGTATTTGCGGTTTATTTAATTATTTATACGAATGGTCAATGATTTTTTTATCTTTGTAACTGTGAAAAATGGACATGGTACTTATCTATTGTATTAGAAATTATATACTTTGCTAAGATCGAGTGATCCCCTCCAGTCGCTTTTCACAATTACTAAAATATACAGATCATTCTAATTCAAAATAACGCAGTTATTGTGTGCAAGTGTATTCTTCCTTTACCACTAAAAAAATATTTGATTACTACTGTTATTACTTCACTAAATTATCTTATGATTTTAAAATGGTGGAGAAGATAAGCAGCTCATATGGATGATTTTGGTGATGTCCTGTTCTCTAAATTAAGTGGTTTAGTTGTGGAGATTTCATAGGAAAGAAAACCAGATCAGAGACATTTAAGACTAAGACCCAGACAATGACAAGTTAAAGTTCAACAATAACCAATCAAGATTGAGGTTGAAAGCACATGCTATTAGTCGTATGTAGAAAGTTTCAAATATTTCACTTCTAAATTATTTTTTTACTGATGATATTGTTCAGAAGAACAATGAAAGCTCTACAACTAAGTCATCCTGTCCAGGGGACGAAACTCCATCACAAGATCTTGTGCATTCGACAGTCGCCCATTAGAGTTTTTTTTCTAACTCAACAATGGATGGATTCTGATAGAATAATAAGTCGACATAGATAACTGACTAGAGAGGTTACTGATCACTTATATGAATCACTTTTAGAAAACAGATATTGCTAATAATCAGGTTGGGGATTTTCGCCACAGCATAACTAATGAAGTAAATCAGGTTTTATCTCCGGAACATCTGATAACTATAAACCAACGACGCCATAGTCGAATATAAAGTTATCAGAAGGAGTTTTGTGAAGATTTTAGAGATTCCACTGACTGAAATCATGAGTCAATTGAAGCTAGACTACCGTGGAAAATCCAGAAGCAATGGACGGCCGTTTTGTCCTAGTATGGGACTCCTCAGTAGCGCGCATCCACGATCCCACACCCCGCGAGATTCGAACCCAGGACCTATCAGTCTCGCGCCAGGCGCTTAACCAACTAGACCACTGAACCGGCATCGAACGGTGTCAATGTTTAACTTCAACTAATCCACGAAATTGAGCGACACATCCACTATTGTCATCAGTGAGTTACTATCTCACAACTCATGATCTCAATTGTTGAAATTTCTAAAATCTCCACAAAACCAATTCTGATAACAATCATCTGCTCACTAGTGACTAACTACAAGAGATACTCCTGGAGTTCTAGTGAGAAGCAGTTACCAGTGGAGTTCAAGCAGGTCTGTTGTGAGATATCAACTCACTGAAGACAATGGTGTACGGTGGCGCAACTTCGTGGATTGGTTGAAGTTAGACATTAACACCGTTGGATGCCGGTTCAGTGGTCTAGTTGGTTAAGCGCCTGACGCGAGTCTGATAGGTCCTGGGTTCGAATCTCGCGGGGTGTGGGATCGTGGATGCGCGCTGCTGAAAAGTCCCATACTAGGACGAAACGGCCATCTAGTGCTTCTAGGTTTTCCATAGTTGTGTAGCTTCAGTTGACTCATGATTTCAATCAGTGGAATATAAAGTTGACAAAATGTTTGAAAAAAGTGTGAAATAAGCACCGGAAATTTATCTGTTCATTGTTCAAACTCTTCACAGCATCTACATAGAAAATATTAACATTATAAAAAGGGTTTTAACTGAAATGTTGATTGTCATAGAATGGGAGTAATTTGATGTGCATAGGATATTAAAAGTCGGTTACTATTGGTTAGGAAAATGATGATAGTATTGTCCCCTTTTGTAATGTTTAATGTTCTACAAAATGAACACCGGGAATTATGTGTAAAGTTCATGTGACTTTTAGTCTTTTGAATTCGCACTCTAAGCTTTTATGTACTGTATTGCATAAGTGTAGATGATTCGTATCGTTTTATAGCGTCCGCGTCGGTTACTGAGATTGTATGCGTTTGGTTGAGTTTCTTTTCATGTTCTCATATGATTCTTGTCATTCTTTTGAACAACTAGTGTATGTTAACACTAGTGATTTTTATAGTTGATCAACTAACTAATTAAGCGTCATTGTACTAACTGATACTAGTGTACATTAACAACTCACACCTTTTGTAAACCTAAATTCTTCATATGTCTGAATAAGGTACTATCTATTTTCATCAGAAGGATAAAATGAAAACAAGGGACATTTTTCCACATTTACTGCTAAACGAGCTTCGCGGCTATGAACAGACACCTTATAATTTGTTTGCCATTCGCATTTACACTGTTTGCCTAAGGCGGAAGATATCGGTATCCATCTTAGTAAAATAAACTTATACATTCATAAGAATTTTATACAGCCATTCCCTTGTACATCAACTTGGTCGACTCTAAAGTTATTTAGAAATGGCTTATTATTGTTCGTTCTTCCTTTGCTACCAAAGTTTTTTTTTAAAATTCCGTTTGCGTTCTTGCTTTTTCATAATTATCGTATATATCTCTTCATTCTTACGCAATTGTCGTCACCATTCTATTTGTTAATTGTCTTATGCGATCTGCCAATTTCACAAACTGCATTTTTTTAATCCATTTATTTATTAATGAATATCTTTCCGGATGTTAATCACTTAATCCAACTCATCTTATAATTTGTTTAATCATTCGTATTTATTTTCATAAACACTTCTGAATTTGTAATATTGCTATGTAACAACGCTCGATTTAGTATCGATCATATGAGGGTAGAGTCCTGAAGAAAAAACTGCTTGGGGATTAATATTTCTTCTCTCTATTTTTCAGCTCTGAAAAAGCATCCACATACACTTAGTGCGACATGTCACTTGGTACGATCAAGTTTTGGATTGGAAAAGATAAGACTTTGTAGCGATAATTTTACACACACACACACACAGTTGTGAAATATTTTGGAAATTTCTAGAAAATTTTCGTGAGACCTAGTATTGATTACTGATCATATCTAACATTTATATCGTTCACAGAATTATTCTAAACTGAAGTTGATCTTTTGAACTCATCAACAAACTATGAGATGCAATGTAATAAAACATATAGACAATTTGAAAAGGAATAAAGATAATTCAGTATAGAAGAAATTACATCATAAAATGAAGATTTCACTTATCCAAAAAAAGTGGTTACGTAATGATATGTAAATTGGGTTTAAGAATAATAGGATGATAATAAAAATAATTTAACGATCAGAATTTTATGAGATAATTGTCCACTTGATCGATATGTAGAAGAAACGGAACATAATTGATAATAACTGAATCGTATTTTACGGAAATCTTCATTCTTTTATTGTTTAGTTCTCTGAGCTAGATGGTTTAATTATGGATACAAAATTGACATAGTTAATTGATATTATCTTGAACAATAAAGAAAACTGTAACTATGCTATTCAACTGAGAAAATACGACATCACCAATAGCGTCCACTACAACTGAAATTGTCACCATCGTTGTCATTTACACTTTTTTAAGTTTATAAATTATTCTAATTGTCGATTATTAAAATGTACCTACATGTTTCCATAAAATGGCCTTTTGATAGCATTTATGGTTATACACAGGCTCTATGACTGTGTCCTAGGGATGTGTGGATTACTCATAATTATTTTGTGTAATGACAATAAATACCATGTTTAGGTTACGGAGACCAATCAGTTTTCTCTTAATTTCCCAGTCCTATCCAGTCACACAGTCCACTAGTTGGACTGCATAATTCGATCCGAAATTTGTGACTCAATTAGTTGCTCGTGGAACTTTCATTTTATTCAACTATTTCTGGGGTCTTTTTTATTTCCTCTCTTATTGATCGTGTTGATGTAACGTTTTACTACTATATATACGTATCTAATATCTACGTTATCGCCCATATGATTCTTTATTGTATTTGATAACAGGAAGTATTTCCATACTTTAAAAAATATTTAATCTGTAAACGTGTGACAAATTTACAGACTTCCAGAATTTTCATTACGACTAAATTCATATACACATCGGTGTGGTTAAATGGTCAGACTATTCAATTTTCCTCTTGACTATCCAAGCCACAAGTTACAGCTCGACTGTTTATGTTTTTGTGATTTGACGGTCAGACATTATAATCAATTCATACGTGTATATAAAGTGTAACTCAAAGTCCCGACCGTTGCTACTACCTTGATGTGATGGTCGGGCCTGCCCATCGTGGTCAACCAATTGAGCTATACTGACTAGAACAATCGTTCTTCAAGGTCCTGCCATGCCAGACAGGTCGGTTGAGAAGCGGTAAGACTAAAAGCAACAAACCCAAGGTTCGAAGGCGAATTCGTACTGCCGACTGTACAGAAGTGTGGCAGCAGTAAGATGTTTCCTTCAGACAACCAGCATGACAGCGATGCTACCTTCCCACAAGGGGGGGGTTAGAAAAGGTCGACCCCAAAAATGCACACCTCCCACGGATCTCCGTCTCCGGCGGTAACGTCTCAACAAATACGGAGCCAACACGAAAATTACCTACAAAAATGTTGTGTGTGACCGACCTCAAGCAGTTGTCTCTTGAGCGCACTGTGGTCACGTTCTCAGGTCACTAAGACCACCTTTCACCCAATTTCCTTTTCAGGTACCTCTAGAAGACTCAAAGTCAACCATATGATTATATATTTTATGAGTTTTACAATTTTATGATTAAATAAATAATGTAAGAACCACAACTTGGATAGAGAATAACTTAATGGTTTATGTCATTTCGTTGGACTCACATCGACTGTTCATTCTAACTCATATTCAACCGGCTCAGTTGTGTGGTAGTAACTCACTGATGACAATAGTGGATGTGTCGCTTAATTTTGTGGATTAGTTGAAATTAGACATTAACACCGCTGGATGCCGGTTCAGTGGTCTGGTTGGTTAAGCGCCTGGCGCGAGACTGATAGGTCCTGGTTCGGATCCCGCGAGGCGGGGTCGTGGATGCGCGGTGCTGAGAAGTCCCACAATGGGACGAAACGGCCATCCAGGTTTTCCATGGTGGACTAGCTTCAATCGACTCATGATCTCAACTGTTGTAATATTTAAATGTTAAAATTATATGTCGTATTTAGCATAGATTTTCATAAATGAAATTGGTCAGAAGTGAATGTATGAGCATAATGTAGTAAGAAATCTAAAAAAAACATTTGATCATCAAATGTTATGATTGCATTTTTTCTTGAAGGAATCTATGCAGTAACTGATACATGTGTAATGAGTATTTACATTAATGAACACAAGTTTTTGTTGATAATTAGGAATAAAATTTGCTGATTCACACTTCTAAGGATTCACATAAAAAAATGGATGTTTCCTAAATTTCGCCGGTTATCTAATTAAAATTATTTTGCAATATAAGCTATAAAACAGGTAAGTGGATTAACAAACAGGATGATATAATTTTCAGTATTATGATCAGTTTTAAATCACTTCATCTCATTTGACCAGCTTACAAGATACTTTTCTCGCGTATTATCCAAGTCATCTAGATTACATTTCACCATCCTGTTCACGTTCTAATGATTCCATGCTTATTTGATACTGTTTCTATCGCCCAATAAGTATATGTCGTTTAGTACTTCGTAACTGTATATATTAATAATGAACTGGGTTAATGTCCGAGCTAATGAATCTATTGTTAAATCCAGTATGACATTCCAAACAAACTATAGGTATATATCTTAGGTCTCTTCTATTCATAAAAATAAATCCAACGGAATTTTTAAAATTATAACTTATTTTCATCATATTTATTTCTCTGGTTTGTAGATTTATTTTTCCCATCCACAACAAACGCAACGACTACACAACGTAAAATTCCTAAAGGTGAAGTACTCGAGGTGATACAAACTCCAAAAGCAAAATATTTACGTATTAGTCGAACTGGTGATTTGTTTATTGTAAAAACCAGTGGAACAACAAATAGTAATTCACTTCCTACTGAAAATAATACTCCTTCTTAGATGGACAAGAAAGTAATACTGCTACCACTACTATTGACAAACAAATAACGTCCAGTGATACAGTGAATTCAAATACTACTTGTCGAAACTCTTCTAATAATTTACGATCCACAGTCGCTACTGCTACCACTACTTCTATTACTACTACTACTACTGGTTCAGCAGATAATTCTGATATTACACTTCCTGACGTTTGGTTCATCGTATGAAAACAATCAACAACATTCTCAGACACTTCAGAAGTCATCTTATTCAACAAATAATTCTGATTCTAATATCTCCAAATACAATAATTTGAATAATAAATCAGAAAATAATGTTCCTAATTCGTCTGTGACTTATTCTAACAATCAACCTTTTAATTATTCTCAGTCATATAATCAGTCTAATACAAATACTTTTCAACCATCTACCAGTGTAGCTAATTCAGCTTCAGATAGTGGTAGGTTAGGTTATTCCAAAGATTCACATTTCTTACAATCTAATGTTTCTCCAAAACGTGCTCATTCATCCAATGAAACGTTTACTTTTGATCCGGGCACCAAAGACTCCCGACAATCCTACGATGCAGAATCGTCTAATTACCAACATCGAATGTTGAACCGGCGTGATACTACTACTACTAGTAATAGTAGTAGTAGCGCTAAAGAAGACCACAATAACACAAGTATAACCTATCCTAATCAAACATTTTCTTCTCAGGATCCTTTCCGAGCTCATGTGCAGCGTACACAACAGGTTGAATTGTCTTGGCCGTGCTTAACATGCGGACGTACTATTGCCACAGGTTGTACTTGTCGTTTAAATTCATCGAATATAAACACTTCAGTAAGAACTACTATTTCTAGTTCACCGACAACTAGTGATCCGAATGTGCAATCTTCCAGATTTAGACCTTTTACTAACTGTACTACTCCTTCAGAATCATTTCAATCCGATCATGTTAATAATAAAAAGAATTTTCCATCAGCTGTTAATTATCAAACATCTGTTAGTGTACCGTACTACCAGACACAAAATGTTCCTTCCTCCTCAGCACCGTCCTCATCCGCTTTATCATCTGCTCATCGTCAATTACAACAACAACATCAGTATTTACGTACTGCTGAAGATGTTGCACGACAATCGGCCCTGTCTGCTACAGTTTCTAACAACACTAATCCTAGTAATTCTTCATACCAATCCACTTATCAAAACCCGACACGAATTAACAATATCAATAATGACAGTAATACTACTAGTGCTACTAATAACAATCATGCCCAACATCTTAATTTATCATCTGGTCATCATCAGGTGAATACTTTACAAAGTCATGTATCTATGATGCAGGATTATTTTACACAATTAACAAATCAACGTCCACAATTATCATCTCCATCATGTTCATTAGATTTACAACGAGCAGGGTTTGGTGGTGAACAAACTCCATCTCATGCTGTCGCTGCAGCAATGCAACAATATTTAGCTCAAAACAGTCAAAATCATATGAATATCATCAAACAGAATAATAATAACAGTAATTCTGCACATAATCATCAAACTAGTCCAGAAAGAAATCTATCCAATTTAAGAACATCGTTTGATCCAACTGTACATTATCAACAATTTCAATTGGCTGCTGTTGCTAAAGAACAACAACAACATCAACCTCATCAACAACAATTGTTGTTACAACAACGTCAACAACAACAGCAAAATATTGGTTTTGTTGAACGTAGTCAATCATCACATCATCATACATTACCAGGCTCGACTGTTGCTTCTGTATCTTCGTCTCCTGTTGCCGCTGCCGCTGCTTCTTCTTCAATGTTTAATCATTTACATTCACAAGCGTTTCCTAATTTTCATTTTCCACAGTTTTAATTGGATCATCATAATTTATGATGTAATTCTTGGGGTTTTTATATGGGGGAGGGACATGAGGAAGGATTCAATATTTTAATGTTATTTCAATTAGTAGTTCGCCCATTTACTCAATGTGTGTGTGTGTTTGTCATATGCACAACTGAGAATATTCTTTTTACTCGTTTTCCTGTACTTAACTAGACACACTTGTGAAGAAAAATATGTTTTATTGTTGTAAACAAAACGTAACGGTGTTATTAATTCCTAAAGCACTCAACCCTCCCCCCTTACCATTTCATAGGATTCTTTTTTATACATAAATTTCACATTGTTAAACTATCTTGATGAATAGTAAGTATTATGAAAATGAAATAGTAATGGCAAGATCATTACAAAAAAAAGAGGAGACTATTTTGAATCATTATTTGTAAAGTTATATTCTCTTGTGTATATTTAACACTTTTAATAGTTGATTTTTCCAATCTCATAATGTACATACTGTCACTAATACTACTATTCCTACTACTTCGATGTATTATTCAATTTATTTTAAAACATTATCTTTTCAGTGTTCAGAGATTATTCTAAATAGACATGCATATATATGATATATATATTGTATTATAAATTGCATGCATAATAATTTTCCTAATATTGTTTTGTTCGTGAACATTGTCATGGTTTAAACGTTCACTTTCGCATATATATGAATCATTGTACTTTGTCACAATTTGATTGATTTATTTTTCCCCTTATTCATCGTTAACAATTGTTTCACTCTAATGATATATATATATTTGTGTGTGTGTGTGTGTGTCAACCGGTTGTTGATATGTGCTACAATACATCAGTTTAGAGTATTGTCCATTTATCATTAATACTTAAAATAATAACAATAATCATTTTCTCCCATATCAGTTTCGTTTGAAAGTGTTTCAAATGTTTCAGCCAATTATGTGTGTACATCATCAGTATCATTACCATTGTTATTACTATGACTATTGCCATTACATTTGAACAGCATAAATAAATATTTATTTCTTAATTTATTTACTTCATTCATAGTAAATATTGTCTATATTACATTTATTTATATTCATATGACAACAAATTGTTTTGATAATTAGGAAGGTTAATTATAAATTGTTCAATACTAACATTGTTACTTTTAATTCTTATTATTAACAACAATAATTATATTATATATATATATATATATATATATATATATATATATATATATATATATATATACACCTCTGTTGTTTTATAAAAATAGAAATTATCTATGATGCATTTAATTGTGAACTTTGTTTTTTTTCAATCTGTTATATTGTTGTTTTCAATCTCATAATTCCTGATGATCGGCGATGTTTTCACCTATACATATATGTGTCTGTCTGTGTATGTGTTTGTTAACTCATTGAGTTTTAGTAGTTGGGCAAAAACTGATCTCTTTTTGTCAATATTTTTTTAAATTTATAGTTTCATGTTCTTTCTGAGATGTTAATATGATTTGTTCATATGTATGTTGGTGAGTTATTGTAATACAAATCATGTGACCAAACAGGTTTAAAAATGGTCACCGGTTATTTACCTACTAATTATTTCCAATCTACATTTAGTCTATAAAATTAGTACTTTGTGTAGAAATATCTTGATCAAAATTCTCCAAACTCTGTTAAAACTTGTTTGTGATTTAAGGCAGTAGTTAGAGATATTCGACATGATACCCTGGACCTAGGTTTCGTGCTGTTTAGAACTCACCAACACCAAGGTGTATCTGTGTTCTTCAGGAATTGATGCTTTCCGGCGGATTCAATTTTGTGTCATCCAGCTTCACAGTCAGAGACATTACTACTTGCTCATCCGGGCCGTTTCTGACCTCTCTTAGGACTTAAATGTATTTACAATTGAATAATCACTTGGTAGTAACCCATATTGCTTTCCTTTCAAATGCAATGTGCTATTTCAGGACTACTGGTCAGCATCGATTCCTAGCAACACCATAGTGAATGATGTAGTTCAGCTCATTAATAACTTCATTTATTTTGGAATTTTCATCTTTCTGAATGCTAATATGATTTGTTCATATGTATGTTGGTGAGTTATTGTAAAACAAATCATTTATTTTGGAATTTTCATTAGCCCTAGTGAGTTGTTTCATAGAATTCCCTTCTATATTACTTTAAGGTTGTAAAATGTTCCTTATTGAAGTAGACAATAAACATGGACTGGAAGTATTCTATCATAGCTATCTTCGAGGCATATGGTTGAACCATCAAATAAATGATTCTGGGAGTAAGCGCATGGTACTAGAACAGTGATATGGCTAAAATCCTTCATTGATTAGATTGTTTAGGATACGTATTATATATGCCCGATCTCTGCTTAAACGCACAATACTTTCCGACTTGTGATTAGGTTGGAAAGCAGTAAGGATGGATAAGTCGAGATATGGGATTAGTTCACTAAGTCATTGACCTTTGATCTAAATTATTTTGATCAGTAAGAGTTTTCTGAGTAGAGATCACTTAATATTAGTAATTACTGGTTGGATATGCTGCTCGATAATATAAAATCTCTCTGTGAATCAATTGCATTTATTCTTTCCTTATCTAAATCTTGATTTAAATACCATTTCTATCTTTGATATTGGTAATTCTCATGTTTAGACTGTTATTGTTTTTGATATTGTTTCTCATCTTGCTTTTTCCTTTCGATACATTGATATGATTTTGATAATTTGTACTGGAACATAAGCATCTGATCTTATGTCGTTCTTCCATTGACACTATTTTTTCTAATGAAGTTAAAATGCGTATAGTTAGATTGTCATACAGGTTTACTTATTTCTTCAATTTTATAGCGTTTTTTGAAATTACTTTTAGCAGTAAAATTAACTTTTACTACTGACTAACTAAAAATAATTAGAAGTTAGGGATGGTCAAACCAAAACGTGGCATCAATTTTTAAAGTCATTAGCTTCTAGTCTTAATCATGTTGGTAGATGCAGACTGCTTGGTTGGAGTCCGCGTGACTATCGTAAACAGTGGTTGGAGAATGTGGGTGACATGACTCAAAATCGATCACAGTAGCGTAGGTGTATACACTCGTTGTCCTCCCTTAAACCGTGAAAATGAAATTGCTTTTATATCTTTCTTTCTACGAACTAATTCTTTCTACCTGTATCATATCCTTATGTGCAATTTTTTTACTACCATTGAACTGTCTATATGGATTTATTGTTCATCTTGTTGTGCTAATGAGGTGTGGCAACTTAGATTGATGTATATATATGCCTGGATCCTACGTTGTAGCTGACTGAGTAAAATGAGCATTTTCCGTTAATTTATAAATTTTCATATTGTAATTAGTATTATAATTACTTATTTTGACAACGATAAAAACAGTATTCAGTGAATATCCGTTATACCATTTATTGTTCATAGTTTTCTCTCAGTTTGTTTTTAAGTAATAAAAGTATTATGTCGTTTACTTATTGTTATTGATTGGATATTCATGTTGAATTATCGTCTGATAAACCTTTTTGTTTGTTCTACTTTGTTTTTTGTGTTTTTACAATAATGAATGTTTCGAGGTGTTGTCCACAAAATTGAGAGGACGAAAAGCGAATGTCCGGCGCTTTAACTAGATCGGTGGACACGGAGAGTTCACCTAGGGTAGTCGGAAAACCGTGATTCCAAACCCATGGTGCACGTGGCCTCCAGTATCCTGAAAGAACAAATAGCGTATGAACCAATCGTTGGTCACCGGCTACCATGGGACTGCATCTCCTTACGTTGCTTCACTGCCTTGTGGATCAGACCTTTGTGTCGAAGGCTCCGGGTGTGGCTCCCTAAAAAAACCACCTGCTTCGGTTTGGGCGCCCGAGAAGTATCACAGCCCTCGCACATATCAAATGAGATATGTGTAGCGCATATGTATTTGGTGCCTCCTTATACCAATATCTATGTGTTAAAATAAATAAATATTCCGTATTAAACTTTTAATTAATGATTGTTAGTTTAGCACTACAAACTGAACTATGTTAGAATACTCCTAATCTCAAACAGTAATACATTGATTAATATGCATCATTAAGCGTACTTTATGAATTTAGGAATCATTCAATAGGATCAACCTGATTTCTTGTTCACTTTTATCTCTAACTAAAAGTTAAAACTATCACGAATAAAGTAAAGCGCTTTTTGTTTCGATTACCTTGTTATAGGTATCGTTAGAAACAAATAGTCAACTATAGACTTTTCAAACTACTATTATTGCTATTAATGTTACATAGTACATTCTCCTTCTCTCTCTCTGATATTAAATCACTCATCAATTTTCTGTTCTACTTTTTCTGAAATAAAGTTTACTTCTGATAATTGGAGTTATATAAGCGGTGACTTACGTAACAATTTGTATCAACGTCTAAAAATGACCCATTTAACACTAGTTCTTTAAATATTCACGTAGATTTCCTGGCTATACATACATTTATCCCTTCATCATTCCTTTTCAGTTCTGTAGATGTATATACTTCATTGGTTCCTCGTTGAAAGTTTATCGAAGTTTGGGTATATATATATATATATATATATATATTATATATATAATAGTAACATAAATACTTTCAAGCACAAATCTCTTCATAAAATACATTGCTTATCTCTCAATTTTGCAAAATTGACTTTTTACATTTTTAGCTTGTGTAGTTATCATAAAATAGAGATACTTTATTTAATGAAAGTATATTTTCATCGTATGCACAACCGGGAAGTAACGACCGCTATCATATATATAGTACATTCTTCTTTTGTGATGTTATTGTTGTTACTGTAGTTTTGTTTTTTTAAATTACCACGATTGATAGATATGAAAACATATCCTTTTCTTATTTATTTGTTTATAGTAATATGCCTATAGAACAATTGTTAGTTCAATCTATTGATGAACTTGCTAGTCAAATTGAATTAGCTCATCAAAATGGGCGTCATGTGTTCGTTTACTTTTCTGGTTCAACTGATATGAACACTGGGGATAGTTGGTCGGAGGATTGTTGTAAATGTAAGTTTCATATTAAATATGTAATTCAAAGATACTTTCTATTATATCTGTCATGAGTGTATTTATTTTTCTGTTTAAATGCTTTGTTCCAATTTTCTTAAACAACTCATGAGGTTTTGTTCTGTTGTAGTCGTTCTTTTAACGAGACTTCTGTTGATATATTAACAATCTAACTGATAATCTCATTATTATTTCTTGATCAATATCATCTATGATGTAAATAAGTGATTAATCAAATTCCAGTACATAGTTGTGGTATGGTTCGTGTGTTTACTCAAGTTTCTGTAGTAAATCCCCTCAGTGAGGTAAAGTTAACGAGATGAATACTAAATCAGTTGAATCATATTTGTATGAATGATGATGCAAAAGAATAAAGAATATAACTCGGAAAGAAGGAATGGATTAAATAGTGTCAAATAATAAGTTAGCTGCCTCTAGCTTTCTTCCAATTTTACCCTTCAGTCAACATCTCTATTCAAAGTAAGGGACAGCCCGGTACATGTTACACATTATACAGACGCTTCAATCGATGCATATTCTCAGTCTTATCAACCGTTTTATTTTGTTCGCCTACATCTAACTTCAATGTCGTTCAGTCGTTTAGTCCACGATACATGAGGAGTGTTTCGGATAACACCTACAAAGAATTTGTTTAAAATGTTGGACTTTTTATCAGTAATATTTGTGTGTTTTTCTTTTTTCCTTTTATTCATAGGTGAATCTATTCTAGAAAGTACGATTGGAGTTGCTAAAGATAGTGATTTATTTTTGATGGTTGAAGTTGGCAACGAAAAGGAGTAAGAAATTGTCATTATTTTGTCTTAGTTTTTTATTTGAACTTATATTATTCGAAAATGAACACTTAAAATGGTTAGCTGCTTCATTCTGATTTGATGATTTAGTAGTAAAATACATTCCTTTTGGTGATGTAAGTAGATGCAAGCTGTTAGTTGTACAGTTTTGTCTATTATATTAAGACGGATTGTTCATAGCATTCTCGGTTTAGTTGAATGGATCAATAAACTTTTTTAAAGAAGAAAAAAAACTAAACTGATAATTTTTTTGAAATTATAAAAAAATTTCTTGAGAATTATGTATAAATTGTTGTCTTATAAAGCAATTTTATTTCAGAAACAATGGTTCAATAATTACAGTATCCAACTTTAAGGACTAGATAGACAGATATTAACATAAAGGCCTGACACAGATGTCCGTTTTCACAGATTTCCATATCACATTAGCACAACAAGGTGAAGATAACAAAAGAGATCGATGTAGTATAAAAGCGATGATAAAAAAAACTGAAAATATTATTTAAAACATAACGTGGGAATGTATGTATTAAGAAGTTTGAGAATTCGAAATAGAGAGAAAAAATGCGTCTGTACAATTGTGGACGATTTTGAATAGTGTTACCCAGTCCTAAGCTACTGACGACGATCATCGCGCGGACACCAACCAGATGATATGCATCTATCTACATAGCTCAGACCAACAGTCAATGGCTTTATGGATTATGTCGTTATTTGATTTGGCCGCCTCTTAACTTCTCCCAACTACCTCGATCAATGAATGGTCATCTAATAGTCCATATTTCCAACTTGAATCTATTTGCTATGGCATGAAACCAATCGTTCACTTTATTTAAAAACAACCTTAGTTCACTTACTGTTTTGTCTTGATTTACATTGATTGTGCTTCGAACCCACACCAATTAAACATATTACAAAATGATCATCCTTTCGATTGAAACTTTAATTGTTGTTACATAAAATTTCAAATTATTGTACAAATCTTACAGGATGTTACAGTTTTAAAAGCATTAGGTATCAGTTCTGGAAGGGTTTCAATGGCTTCAAAGTGGTTTGTAGAAGTCATCATGTAAATTACAGTAGTCAAATATTTCTTTACTAAAAATACAATTCACTCTGAAATAACATTCATATGGAAATAATTCCTATTGGGTTATTGAGAAACTTTGATCAATTCAAATCAGTCAGTCAGTAACAACGTGGAACTTCGTAAGTACCTACATCAGTTTGAGTTGCCATACCATATTAGCACAGAGATGCAGTTATCGATTCAAACCCCATAGTGGTAGAATTAGTAAGAGTATAAGCAGTAATAGGAAAGATTAGGGTTTGAAGATGTTATTCAAGGAGTATAATCCAATGAAATAAATTTGGAAAGAAAAAAAGAATGGACATGAAGAATTCAGAAGATTATAATTTGGGAGAACACAAAGAGTGGATGCACCTGCGCCATTGCAGACGATTTTGAGCCATGTCATTCAGGGTCTCTAACCGTCGGTTGCTATCGTCTACACCTACCAACATGTCTCAGTCCACTTGTCAGTGACTTCATGGACTTGTGCCATGTTTTGGTCTGGCCGCCGCTAGCTTTCTTCCAACCTATTACTACACCGTAAAATATCGCACGTTGGGGCAGTCGGTGGTTGGGCATATGTAACACATGTCCGAGCAATCTTAACTGATGAAGTTTCACTACTTCATCAATTGATTTGCCATCCCTACCTAGTACCCGTTTCATAACAACTGCATTACTTACTCGATGGTTCCAGGATATACGAGCAATGTTTCGAAGAAACCTCTGATCGAATACGGGTAACCTACGATTATCCCCTACTCTTACTGGCCATGTTTCACTGCCATAAATTAGGGCGGAACGAACTGCTGCACAGTAAACCCGTCCTTTGGTTGATAGACGGATATCTCGCCTACGCCATAAATGACGCAAGTTGGTAAAAACTAGTCGAACCTTCTGTATCCGTGCTGAGATTCCGTCACACACTAGCCCACAAGGACTGATGAGACTTCCAAGATAATTGAAGCGGTCGACACGCTCAATTACTTCACTCCCTATCATTAGTTCGGGTGTCCGTTCAACTCAATCCTGAAGCAACATTTTGCATTTCGAGGGTGGAGTATCGCATGCCGAACATGCTTGCATCGTTGCTTAGAGTGGCCAGAAGACTCTGCATTTTGTCAATTCAAATATATATAAAGAATAGATAAACTGATTTGTATCTGTCAACTATTCATTGCCTTACTTAGTATTCGTTGATATTTCTTTAAATCTTATCATCACTTTAGATAAATAAATAAGTAATTTGTAAACGTACATATATTTATTTTTTATATTTTCTTTTTGTATCAAGGTGGAATGATTCTAATAACAAATTTCGAATTCATCCACTTTATCAAGTTAAAGAGTTGCCTACATTACTATCATTATCATTTGTAAGTAGAATTTGTTTCGTATGGCTGGTTGTTTTCTTATAGTTTTGATGATGATTTACAATAGTTACTTTTTTTATATTCAGAATCAATTTATTGCTACATTTCTGTTATATTTTGTTATTTCTTTTTTGACGGGGAATGGGTGGAAGAAAGCAAGTGGATGGCTTTCTCTTTGTAATACACTACTTTTAATCAATGATCTTCATCTCCGAACCCCTTGATACAACTACTTTCATTTGGTTTAGGGTCAATCCTAGATACCTGTACTTAAATGCCGTGAAATGAAAATCATATTGCTTCCTCGATATGAAAAGATCCTAGAAGAAATTAAACTTGGTTAGACTACTGGTAAAGTTATAAATATATAATATGACAGTATACCCTCCAGGAGTTATCCTGACACAAACGACTGATTGATGTAACCTTCGTGACAATCGTCATTCATCTTTTCATTGATATTTCGGGGAACCACTTGTAAAGTTTAACTGTCTAAAATATTATTGGAGGTATGTGAACAACTGTTTTCCCCTATGCCAAAGCTTTTGCTTTCCAAACCTGGAAGTGACTACGTAATGAGATTAGTTACAAATTTTTTGTGAATAGCTCTCTATTAGCTTTTCAGACCTTACTCCCTGTACCAAAAACCCATGTGGTGTACTGCAGTAAGAGTTGACCTTTTATAACCCTCTTCCTTCTATTATGGAAAGATAAGTATTGTTTGAAGGTGCACTATTGTACCGCGGTACAATCGGTCAAGCTTGATCACACTGTGTTCAAATCTAAAGCAGAATGTATGATTTCTTCAGACGTTGTTACTTATCAATATTTTATCTGCTGACTGTTTGAACGACCAGTAATGACATAGTATTAGTGTAAACTTTACCTTGCGATGATGTGTTATTGACTATCCTATTTACAATATATTATATCTAACAATTGATTTATTGATTGAGATCATGAACCGGTTGATGTTAGACCACCATTAAAAACCTGAAAGCACTGGACGGCCGTTTCTTTCTATTGTGGGGCTCCTCAGCAGTGCGCATCCACGATCCCGCCTGCGGGATTCGAATCCAGGGCCTTCCGTCTCGCGTGCGGACGCGGTCGTCCAGTGTTTCCAGGTTTCCAATGGTGGTCTAACATCAATCGGTTCATGATCTCAATCAAAATCTTAACAATTTCCACAACTCCTAAACTGATAATTGATTTATTGTGATATTCCTTTTTTCTATTTACATAAATTTCAGTTAAACGGACAAAAACATATCGTTAATCGTCTTGATGGTAAATCATGCTTAGATTCAACAAATGTGCAAAATTTATTTGAAGGCAATTGAAATGTGTTTTTCTTTTTCCTGTCCAATAAAAATATCATCTATCTGTTTTAAACTTGAATTTCAATGCTATTAGCTTCGTAACTGAATATTTATTTTAAAAATATTTATGAAATTCTGCTTTCATTTCATGGAATATTACCACAACCGCCATGTGTGTGTGTATGTTTGTGTCGACGCAGTATTCTGTTGTGTGAATCAAGTCAATTTACTCTTTTCTTTTTTATTTCGCATTTCTTGTGATTATTTATTTTTGTTCCTGTTTATCAGTGTCTGTGTGCGTGTGTGTGTGTGTGAATGTTGTACTCGGTGATATTTCTTTTAATATCCTATTTTTGTTATTTTTTTTCTGTGTTCAATTATCCTTGAATTGTTGTTACTATTATTGTTTGTTTATTATTTGAACTTTGAAGTATCGTTGTTTTACTAATATGTTATCTATCGTCCAGTAAGAATTAATGTTAACAATAAACTTTAAATATACTAAAAAGAAAATGACATGAGTAACTTTTCCGTGGGTTTTTTTTTTCAAGTGAGTTGTAGCTAATAATGAAATGTAAGATGAACGTTTTATTATACTTGTGCTTTGTCAACTGAAAGTATTGTATTGGAATATGAACCTAACACTTTTCGCTTTAAACTTTAACTTGTTATTCACTTACCTTTTGAATTCAAATAGTCGTTAACTTGTTTACTGTTAACTACGAAATCATCCGAACTCTTACTAGTAAAGATGTGATTTAATTAGTCAGTATAAAAAATATAAGATTTGACCACAAATGCATTACTTCAGTTTGCCCTGTTTTACATCAGCAGCAATGAAATCAAAGTAAATAAATAGAATGTCTTAAATATTTGTGTCGACCAATCCATCTTATTATGCTGATGTATGAAACAACTTAGCCCAATGTATGTGCATGATATATTGCTTATGACTACTGACTGAAATAATACTATTGATTTCATTAAAATTTGCATACAAAGAAAATAGAAATCATCAGCTGTGAACACATCATTCAATGTGAGGTCAAGCTCAGAACAATCAAACCTCGGAGCATTTGCGTTTACTTAGTAGCACTATCCAATTGTTCACACCTTTTTTTTTTACCTCCAGTCAGTTTATGACATTTTGCATTAGTTTGAATTCACCGATACTCAATGTTTTTCTAGCTATAGTCAGTTTTTGTTCTGTAAACTAAGAACTGAACATTTCACAGGTTTCTTATTTTAATAATACAAGATACAATTCAAAAAGAATAAATAGAAATTGATAAACGTGAAATAGAAAACTCAAGAGGATAAATGAGTACACCTATGCTATTGCATTCTACTTTAAGCTATGTCACTTCAAGATTCTAAGCATAAATCGCATACATTCTATGGACCATAAACATGGTAGGCTACACACTGATAGTTAATGACTAAATAAACTAAGTTTTTCTGAGACAGTAGCTTAATGAATAAACTCTTTCGATTTACAACCAATAGTTCAGACAGTTGAGAAATGGTTCATTCACTAAGCTTTAGAAAGCCGGGTAATTTCATTGACTGTTGAATAAACAATGCTGATCAAATTCATGTCCAGTCACTCAATGTGCATAACTTTATTAATTGACCTATAATATCCAGTCAAGATTCATTCAGCTACTATGAAATGATAAAGCATTATTAGTTCAGTAATGCAATAGAAAGTGCGTTATTATATAATTATTTCACTACTATAGCAACTAGTGAGAATAACTTACATGTTGACATAGTATATATGTAGAAATTTTTTTATCTAAAAGCTGACATCACATGTCTGTCTCAAAGGTTATGGAAGGCAATGACGTCAAAAAATGATGGTCACAGTTCTAATTTGTCATTCACATCAATAATTTTATTGAAATCAGTTTTGTAAGTATATCTTGCCCACTGTATTGTTTTATGTTCGTGAAGGTGCCTTTTTTACCCGTGCTTACCTGTTGTTACCAAAGGATTCTATTGTTTGATTGTCTGTTTCCGATTAATATTTACTTATACCACTACTATCCAGACAGTTTTGTTCAAAAATAGATTTGAACCCGTACGCAGTTTCAAAAAATAACAATTACTTCATGTTAGAACTGAATGCTCGTAGGTTTATAATGATTTTCTAGTCAAAATCGTTTAATTTGTGATAATCAAGTGGCTTCGTTTCTTTAATCGATAACCGTTGGAATAAAAATATCAACGGTGTTTAAATTAGAAGGCAATGAGAAGTGGCAACTACAGTTTATTGGCGGATACCACAGATCACGAAGCTATAAGCACATCGAAGGAATTTAAAGCGGAGGGGCGAATAAGTATGTGGAAGCAGTTACGTAGGCAAATCTATGGTCAAATTGCATAAGAGCAAAGTAAAGGCTAATAATAATATTTGAACTGGCGCGCGTTTCAAAAAGGGCAGTGACTTTGTACTTGTGATTATCCTGCTTTTGCGTAATTGTTGCATCAAAAGCATTTTTGGTCTATTTGTATCTAAGCACTTAAGTTAAGGTTTGAAATCTCGCTAAAGTTTGTCTTGTGGTACCCTCTTACTCATTGACTGACACTTGTATTCATAATGTCTTAAACCTTGATCTGATTACGATGGCTTGTAGGACTTATAAATGTGGACAGCCAAAATGTTTGTTCGGCGTGGAGGAAGGTATGCAGTTTGATGAGTGCAAAAGTGATTCAATAAGATGTGTACCCGTTTAATTCCCACCGCATACAAAAGATGTTCGAAGCCTTACTCGCACTGGCTTTGCATGTTTGGCCTTGTGAACACGACGTTACTAATCCAGGTGGCCATGAGCCTATTGGCTTTGGCCTGTTAGCAGAACGGTAGCGGTCGCACTGGCACTGACAGTGAAGAACGTGTCAGTGTAGTACGTGCTGTTACAAGGCGCCTCAAACATCCGACTGTGACTGACGGTAAAGTGAAATATCCGTTAACATTAACGGTGGGGAAGTGCCAGCTGACGTTGATGTTGGTATCATGTACCTCTAGTGGGAATTAAAGACCCAGATAAAAACGTCCGCGTTCCAAATTCCGCCGGTGTCCTGAGTGAAGAAAAGTGGACTACAGTTCAGAGAAAAAGAAACGAAAAGAAAAAAGCTGTAGGCAGTATGCAGCTGGTTAGCAAGTCATTGGCGGACTGCCATTGTGAGTCACAAAATGCACTACCAAAGTCCGATAGTAGTAGGATTTCCACCATGGCATGACTGATAAGGAGAATCTGATCTCATCAAATATCATTGTGAGTAAATTGCTGGAGTCAAACGACCCTGATCCCAAAAATAGACACGCGCATGATTTAAGGAAGCTGGGAGAATATATTTGCAGTATATTACCAGAAAACTCCAAGGACTTCAGGTCAAAAAATTGGTTAGAAAGGTAAGAGGATTGAGGAAAATGTTGAACACTGACCATGTGGACTCTTTAAGGTAATCCTAGGATCGGAGAAGCAACGGGATCCCCTGTTAAGTAACGCTCGTTGTCACGATAATTCCGACATACGGTTAGACCTGATATGTCTCTCGAATAGGATAGGCCGTTCTACTTAGTAGTTTTGTTTGCCATTGCTCGTAGTCTAAGAAATAAGCTCTATGAAATAAAAGCATTGGTGGACAGGTTAAAGCCACTCATCGCAGCAGTGACAGAAACTTGGTTAGTACAAGACTTAGACATTACACCAGAATTATTCAGATAGACATAGATGTATAAAAGGAGGTGGCGTCCTGTTATACATGGCCAATAATATAAATATCCGCATGATAGCGGTACTTGTGAAATCATTAGCGGTAAATTGGCTATCGGATGTAGTACATTTATGCTCGGTGTCATCTATCGCAGCCCGATCTGCTTAGCTGATGACTTTAGTTTAGAGTACATTCATCTTTAGAGTGCAAATACCAGATGCTTGATAATAGGAAACATTATTGCACCTGATATTAGATGGACTGAGATGACCACAGAATGATCTATAAACTCGCTTGATAGTAGTTTCCTGATAACAATAATGGAGCATGCACTAGTGTAGCATGTATCCAAACCCACACGTTTTGGTGTTAACCAAGGTTCTTCTCTGTTGGACTTGATAATCATTCATGTGACTGAGGATATTGTCGACCTAAATATTCTTCCATCGTTAGTGAATAGCGATCAAGCTTTTTTCTCATTCGCGTTTAGAACTAGGGACATGTTATACGATCAGGTTACTCCTCACCCAAATGTATGGAAAGCTAGCGTATCAACCATTCAGGAATGCGCTGCTAAGACAGACTGGGTTGTAGATACTAGCTTATCAGTTGAAGAAGCATGGTCTGTATTTAAAGGTAAGTTTAGTCTGGTTACGTCCCCGTTCATACCATACCTGATGCCACGAAGATCGAATAACAGTCCACCATGGATAACTAAACCAGTAAGGAAACTTCTTAGGAAAATGTAGAAGCACTGGAATATCTTCATCTCTACTGGCTTAGAACAATACAGGTCCAGTTATTGTAAGATTAGGGATACCTGTAAATCGTTAATAAGACTAGACTATCATATGAAAAACAATTGGTTAAGGATTCTAGATATAGTTCGAAACGGTTATTCTCGTATGTAAAAAGGCGAACTCAGAGAAGCGATGGAATTCCATCGCTTTCGATACAAGAATATCCGTTCATCTTGGTAAGAAATTATGCCGAAACAGCCGAAGCTTTATCGGAATATTTCAGTAAAGTATTTTCTGTCACTGATGAAGAATGACGAACGATTCATTGTGATTGTGGCGGCGCGCTCATGGATCCTGTAGTCATTGAGAAAGGTACTGTTTTAAGGCTACTTTAGCATTTCAAACCTGATAAGTCCAGTGGTCCTGATGATATTCATCCTAGGATTATGAAAGCCATATCAAATGTAATTTCTGAACCATTAGCGACACCGGTATGTCTCTGAGGCAGTGCAGACTGCCCAGAGACTGGAAAGATGCTATAACAAGCCCGGTGTATAA